TTGAGGTCGCCTTCGCCGGTTGGCATGTCGGCAGACCTATCCCTCCTTGGGATGCGTGGGGTGTCCCTCCTTGGGACTCGTGGGTGTGGTGGCGGTGTCCCTCCTTGGGACTCTTGGGGCTGGACCGGGTTGTGTTGGTGGCGTTGGGTGTGGGCGTCTCTCCTTGGGTGCTTGGGTCGGAGTGTCCCTCCTGGGACTCTTGGGCCTGGGCTGGAACGTCCCTCCTTGGGACGCTTGGGGCTGGTCTGTCCCACCTCGGGACGCATGGCTGGACATTGCTGTCCCAGCTTGTGTTGACCCTCTTTGGGTCGCATGGTTTGTCCCTCTTTGGGACGCGTGGGTGTAAGTACACGAGTGTTGTGTGTACATACACTATATATATTTTTTTTTATTTTTTTTTTTTTCGGGGTGGACACGGCCACTCCCCTCCTCACACTCTGGGGAGCAGACACGGCCGCTCCCCTGCTGTCACTCTTGGGGCAGGCACGGCCGCTCCCTTGCTCTCACTCTGGGGAGCAGACACGGCCGCTCCCCTGCTGTCACTACTATCACTCTGGGGAGCAGACACGGCCACTCCCCCGCTTTCACTCCATTCACTCTTGGGGCAGTAACGGCTGCTCCCTTACTCTCACTCTGGGGAGCAGACACGGCCGCTCCCCTGCTGTCACTCTTGGGGCAGGCACGGCCGCTCCCCTTACTCACACTCTGGGGAGCAGACACGGCCGCGGCTCCCCCTGCTGTCACTACTATCACTCTGGGGAGCAGACACGGCCACTCCCCCGCTTTCACTCCTTGTTTCACTCTGGGGAGCGGACATGGCCATTCCTTGCTCTCACCTTGGAAGCAGGACATGGCCACTCCCTTGCTCTCATTCAGCTTACTCACCCTGGGGAGCGGACACGGCCACTCCCCTGCTGTTTCCCTAGGGGGTGGACACGGCCACTCCCTGTTTCAAGACCCTCGTTGGGACGCATGTGTTGTCCCTCTTTGGGACGCATGGTGGACTGGCGTGCCAGTCTGGCGACCGGGCATGATGACAGGCTGTGCGACCGGCGTGTCCTGGCTGGGCTGGTCCTCTGAGGTCAGGAGCTTGGGTGGTATAATCTCCTTGGCGCCCTCGGACAAACTGAAGACTGGCTTGATTGATAAAATTTCTTTTTAAATATACTGACATAGTTCACTTTCCAAGAGGAAATTGGCTAGCGGTCTGTACATTGCAAGGTGCTCCGTGGGAGCCAGCAGCCGCTTGGCTGTCAATGTACCTAGCCCTGTTTCCTCTCTGAGTGTTTGCCTGGTTGTGTCAAACCGTTGGCAATCCAGCATAATGTGAGGGACTGTAGCTTTGGTGTGGCATGTTTGACATTTCTTATAAGAGGTTTTGGTGGTACCTAGTCTTAGGCGGGTGATCATGATGTCGACTCGCCTGTTTTGTGAGGGAGTAGTTCGCGTCCCTTTCACATTGGGGCGGAGTCCATGATACCATCTGCCTTTGTCTGAGGTGTCCCATTGCCTCTGCCACTTGCTAGTGATCGAACCTTGGATCATACTTCGAATTTCGCTTTTTGAGTAAGGATGATCCAGTGACACGTCCAATTCTAGCGCCTGTTTAGCTAGTTTGTCGGCTCTCTCATTGCCGGGAATGTCTATGTGAGATGGTATCCAGCACAGTGTTATCTTTTTCTCATTTTCCCTTCTTAGTTTCTGAATGAGAACCAAAATGTCTCGGATGGTGTCAGGTCTACTGCTCGAATGCTTAGTTGCCAGTGACTGTAGTGCACTGAGAGAGTCAGAGAGGATGACCACTCTTTTCTCTCTAAGGTTTTCACTGTACCTTAGTGCATGGTGTATGGCTTCTAGCTCCGCTGTGTAGACTGACTGTCCGTCAGGGAGGCGGACCGAGATGGTTTGGTTGTTAGAGGCTGTGTATATCTGGATACCATAGGCGGTTCTATTTCTCACAGGATCCTTGGATCCGTCAGTATATATGTGAGCCGAGTCTTCGTAAAGTGAGTCAATCCTACTAAGCGCAATGCTTCGTAGCAACATTGGGTTCTCACTTTTAGGCACTTCTTTTTGTGAGAGTGGTATCGACATTGGGTGATTTTAATTCCCATGGGGGACATTGCACTGTCGTTTGACATGTTGCAGGCTCTACCCCTGACATCCATGTTCTCGCCTAAGCTGTAAGACTCTGAGCCCGCCTGGTGTTGTATCAGGCCTCTTTTGGAGCCATGCTTTCATGAGTGCGGGGTAGAGTTCCTCTTTCCATAGTCTAGTGACATGTGGATTGGAGCAGCGACTCCAATAGTTCAATGTCATCTTCTCACGCCTGAGTTCTAGTGGTAGCTCCCCAGTTTCCACTAGTAGGGCCTGGTGGGAGGTATGGGCCGCCGCGCCCGTAACCAGTTTAAGAGCACGATATTGAATCGTTTCAAGCCGGTTTAGAACCGTTTTAGAGGCGCTGTGGTATGCTTCACACCCATAGTCTATTTTGCTTCTGATGAGGGTCTTATATAGGGTCAGGAGAGTATCGCTGTTTGCTCCCCAAGAGCTACCGGATGTAGCTCTTATTGCATTGAGGTCTTTCTCACACCTAATGACTATGCTGTCTATGTGTTTTGCCCATGTGAGGTGTTGGTCGAAAGTAACCCCGAGGAACTTAGCTGATTTCTCAAATTTGACCGTTTTGCCCTTGAGTTTGAGACTGGGTGTGTTGCATATTCTGCTACCCTTCCGCTTGAATACCACTCCGATTGTTTTCTCAGGTGAGATAGTAAAACCCCATTTGTCGCACCATTTTTCCACACCATCGAGGGTTTTCTGGATCAGAGCCTGGATCTTGAGAACCTCTCGATGTCTAACCCAAACAGCCCCATCGTCAGCGAACTTTGAGGTGTTGATGTTATTGTCATTTTGGACATGTTCAAATAGGTCGTCAATCATGATGTTGAAGAGTGTGGGACTGATAATGCTTCCTTGCGGCGTGCCATTATCTAACCTGTGTGGATCGGACAGGTGGTCTCCAACTAAGACTGATATTGACCTTTCCTGCAGAAAACTTTGAACATAGTTTGCCATTTTCCCTTGTACACCAACATTCTCTAGTTTTTGGAGGAGTCCATCGTGCCATACCATGTCGAAGGCTTTGCTGAAGTCTAAAAAGACAGCAGCTAGGTACTGTTTCTTGACCTGGGCTAATCTGATATCATTTTCCAGGCGGAAAATGTGGTCAAGACATGAGCGGGTTTTTTCTGTAACCGCTCTGGTCATGGGATAAGAGTGCGTTTGTCTCAAGGTGGTGCTTTAAGCGTATGTTCACCATTGCCTCCATACTCTTGCACAGATTTGAAGTAAGGGATATTGGGCGATATGAGTTGGCCGATGCCTCCTCCTTCCCTGGTTTGAGCAGAGGTATTACTGCTGCATGTTTCCATGCTGCAGGTACCTCCCCCTGATCCCAAATCAAATTGTACAGTTGTACGACGACGCTGGCGATGCTGTCTGGCAACCTTTTGAGCATCTCATAGCTGACCATGTCCTCCCTGGACAAGTACCCTTTTGTTGCGTATAGCAGTTCTGAACTCCTCCACACTGAAACCATGGTTGTATGCGTGCTGTTCGCACGGGGGCTGTTTGGGCCGTGGTGGCAATTTTTCTGTCTTTTTGAACTCTTCAGAAAAATTGTTGTTGCTACTGACAGAGGCAAAGTGGGTGGCTAAGATACTTGCTTTATCCGTGACTTTGGTAGCCCCTGTTAGTTTGGGAATGCGAGCGGACCTGCGTTTCCCCCGGATAGCATGTATCTTTTGCCAGACTGCTTTACTGTTTGTTTTGTGGTTGAGGGATCCACAGAACTCTTGCCATGAGTCAGACCTGGACTGATCGATGAGATCTTTCACTTGTTTCCTAGCTACACGAACTTCACCTATGACAGACTTGTCTCGTTTTAACCTATTTAATGCTTTTTTCCTAATGCGTCGTGCTTTGGCTATTCCCTCGTTCCACCATGGGACGGCTCGGGCGCCGACCTTTGCTTTGGTGAGTGGGATTGAGGCCAGTGCTGCCTTATGTATGGCCGACGTTAGGTTTAGGCAAAAGGTATCGACGTCGTCAGAGACGATTTCAGACGGCTCGATTTTATTGCATTCCGTTCTGAATTTTGACCAGTCTGCTTTGGTGAAGTTCCACCGCTCTCTAGGGTTTGAGATTTCATCGCAAAGAGGTGGGATACCGAGAAAAGTGAAGCACGGAGAGTGATCACTTCCCCAACTGTCATCATGAACCTGCCACAGGCAATCATGGGCTAGGTTTTTGGTGGCAATAGCTAGATCTATGCTGGTCCATATACCTCTGTTTGGACAATGTCTTGTAGGAGAGCCATCATTCAGTATAACGAGTCCCTGTGACTCTACCCAATCCTCCACCATCCTGCCGGGGCAGTCAGAGTGGTTGGTTTCCTCACCCCACAGCGGGCTGTGGGCGTTGAAGTCGCCTAGGATTAGGCCTGAATGCCCGACCAAGTCGCTGAGTTTGTTAAGCTCCTCGATGTTGGTGGGATCGGCAGTCCTGTGATAGACGTTTGCAATGCGTATCTCTTTGCTATTTGCCATGCTGACCGTGATGACCTGGGTTTCAAGGCTTCCCACCTCTGCTTTGACCTCGGTGGATGTACAGTTGTCGACGACAAAAGTGACCAGTCCACCCCCCATTCGCCCCGCTCTGTCTTTGCGGTATTGTGTGTAGCCAGGTAACCGAAAGTTTGCTCTCTTCCCCAGTTTTGCTTCTTGAATTAGTATAACGTGGGGATTCAGTACCTGTTGTCTGACTAGGGCTATGAGTTCTTGGCCGTGCGACCTCAGACCATTGGCATTCCATTGCAATATTTGTAAGGCCATGATGACAGTTGTGTCTTATTATTTGTAGCTTAAGTGTTTACTTAAGCTTATGTATCTGCTGTTTGAGATAGGATGCAGATTGCCCATAGGACAGGATGTTGGTTGCTAACTCCCAGAGTATGGTGAGTTTTGCCCTTCATCACTATCCTTATGTGTGCCTAGTTTGATTAAGGCGGCACACATAAATTCAACCAGCTTGTCTGGTGTAGCCTGGTTGTGGGCATTTGTTTTGCTATCATGGCTTACTACAGCATGCCTATTGTCTGTACCCGTTGTGCTGGTGGATTCAACATTGCCCGTGTTGTTTGCCACCTTATTTGGACCTTTTTTGCCCCTTTTGCCTCTCTTCCCTTTGCGTCGCTTGGTATTGGCACCCTTGCCCATGGGGTTGCCTGCGCTGGTTGCCTCAGCGTCTTCGTTTGCCCGTGTAGCATTGACCTTGCCCTTGGTCGCCGCCTGTTCATTGCCCTGTTCAGTTTGCGTCATCTGTTTGAGGCCAAGAGTCTCCGTGTTTAGACTCTGTTTTTTGTGCTGCCTGCTCCTGCAGAAGTTGGATAGGGATGAGTGTCCCTTAACTTTGCAGCTGGTGCAATAAAGAGAGCAGTTGCCCTTGCAGCTTTTGGCAGGCCTAGAGCATGTACGGCATTTTGCCTCGCTGAGGCAATTTGCTTTAACATGCCCGTAATTTAAACAGTTGACGCACTGTTTTGGTCGCCTGAGGTAGGGAAGTGTAGCTAATACCTCGCCTGCCACTTTGATCGTCTCTGGGACTGTAGTTCCCAATATTGTGAGTATTACTACTCTTGTATTTTTGCCTTGGCTTTTAATCCTATACATATCAGTTATAGTAGGATCGTGTTGCTGCTGGGTAGTGAGCCTTTCGTCACTGATACCCTTGTCAAGATGCACCGCGCATCTTATGTGTGATACCCAGCCTGGCACTTTCCAAACTATAGCCTGATCAAGGACTTTTTTGGGGAGTTTGGCACAATCATTTGTGTTGTCACCCCTGACAACATATCCCCGGTTAGCTTTGTGTATTCTAGTGACAGAGACTGACTTCACTAGTTCCTCCCGTAAAGCTTGGGCCGAGACCCTGCTGGAGAGGGTGAGGTTGTAGTCTGTACAGTAGACTAGCCTCTCCCACCCCTGCTGCTTTGTTGGGGGCAGCCTTAGCCGAAGCTTTGGCTTGTCTAGTTCGGTCAGTGGAAGTCTTAGTGGTCCTGTTCCACAGCCCTTGGACTATTTCCCGGTCTGACTGGCTCATTTCTAGTAAGCTATAATTCCCCTGTGGCAGACTATTTGCAGCTTCTGCATATGAGTTGTTGGGACTATCTGCTGTTTCCTCAACTTTTCGCTTTTTGGGGTTTGGCGGCAGTGTTCTAAAAAAATAGCTAGTCTGACCGGGACTGTTCTGAGGCTTTTTCAATATTGGGCTGTCTCTGCTGGGGCTGGGCATTCCCCTTGTGATATTTTGAGGGCTAGGCATTCCCTCTTCGGACTCAGAGTCCATTTCAATGTTTATTGATATTGGGGTGGGCAGTCCCATATCTATTCCAACCCTACCGGCGGTTGGTGTGGAGGTAGACACGGCTACCTTTTCTCTATCTGACTGGGGTGTGGACACGGCTACACCCCTGCTTCCTACTTGGGGATCGGACACGGCCTTTCCCCTTCTCTCTCTCGGTGGGGTGGTCACGGCCACTCCCCCCTTCTCTCCCTTTCTCTCTCCTTGGGGGGTGGTCACGGCCACTCCCCTTCTCTCTCCCTGGGGGGTGGTCACGGCCACTCCCCCCTTAACTCCCTTTCTCTCTTTTTGGGGGGTGGTCACGGCCACTCCCCTACTCTCTCTCGGTGGAGTGGTCACGGCCACTCCCCCCTTCACTCCCTTTCTCTCTCCTTGGGGGGTGGTCACGGCCACTCCCCTACTCTCTCCCTTGGGGGTGGTCACGGCCACTCCCCCCTTACCTCCCTTTCTCTCTCCTTGGGGGGTGGTCACGGCCACTCCCCTACTCTCTCGCTGGGGGTGGTCACGGCCACTCCCCTACACTCTCTCTCTCCTCTACTATCCCTCCGGTGAGAGGATGCTGCCACTCTTCTCCTCTCACCATGGGGAGTGGACACGGCCACTCCCCTACCTTTCCCATTGGGAGTAGACACGGCTACTCCCCCTACTTCGCATTCATGTTTTCTGTGAACCTCGGCGGTCACTGAGAAGGTGTTCCCAGAGTTCGCCATGAGTGGGCTGGGAACAGTCCCCCGTGAGTACAACCCACAGTGAACTTAGCCTTCCTTGTCTTCTTCTCTTCTGTCTTGCTTGGCTGCTTCCCTCTGAGCTCCTTCTCCTTTGGCAGCCAGGCTGCAGATGCATTGTCTATGACGTCAGCTGATTGTTGACGTTTTTCGTTCATGACGAAATCACTTATGGGACACAGAAACGAATGACGCGGCGCCATTGTAGACGTCACAGACTCGAGCTTGGCAACATCCCCACTCTATTCCAGAGCGTTTGTGGACCCATGCATGTATTTAGCAAGGGTGGCGATTTATTATTTGGGGCCGTGCGACAGGTATGAAGCCTTTGTCAACTTATCACGATGCTCAACATCATGGATTTAGCACAGGTTGCAGGCAAATACAGGACAACTGCAGTCAACAAGGCAAATCAATCCCTAGCAACGGAAGCTGAACTCTGCAGAAAACACTGACGTTGTTAGGTTCATATGCGCATAAATAGTTGAATGATGTGTCAAAGCAGAGGGCACTCATATTTTCATGTCAATGCTTAGTTTCACCCAAAATAAAACCAGAAGAAAATCACTCTGAATATCATGGCAACTGCCGTGTAGAGAAAGCGGAATTCTACAAGCACAGACAACTGACTTCATTCAAACAAATATTTACAGAGGAACCAGTGTAATCACACCTGTTACCTACTTCTGTCACTTGTTGATATATTTTCTAAGGAAACAATGTACTAATAACTTTGTATTTCACACAACATGATAATAGTCATAGGAGATGACAACACAATGCTTCAATCATCTTGCCGATTGCGACTTTCAGGCTCAGAAATGGATCAGGTCAAACTTCACCGACTACACAGACGGTACTGGTATTATTTTCAACTGCACGATCTCATGCAGGAATAAATATACAAGTCCTAAAGGCCCGTGTGCAGCACCCGACACTGTCCTCTGAAGCTTCCCCAAAACGGTCTGCATATTTGTAATCCAAACATTTTCAATCAGAAAAACATTCACTTTTGTAACCAGCCCGTTCATTTACTATCATAACGCCGACGCTGCCCACAACACTTTCCTCTTGAACATCGACTAACAAGACATAGCAGGATGCACTCACCAAATCAACACAGTCCTTTGGGTACATACACATACTTCAGTGGATCACTTGTAGGCCTTGTTTAAATACTGAACGAAAATGATTTCACATCAAAGAACATAGCTGCTGACTTACTTGTGCCTATCCCTGCCTGTTGCAGCAAAAACTCCTTTGGCAGTTCACCCCGAACGCTACACGCCCGTCAGCCCCGTTCACAGACTATACAATCATTGTCTATGACGTCAGCTGATTGTTGACGTTTTCGTTCATGACGAAATCACTTATGGGACACAGAAACGAATGACGCGGCGCCATTGTAGACGTCACAGACTCGAGCTTGGCGACATCACCACTCTATTCCAGAGCGTTTGTGGACCCATGCATGTATTTAGCAAGGGTGGCGATTTATTATTTGGGGCCGTGAGACAGGTATGAAGCCTTTGTCAACTTATCACGATGCTCAACATCATGGATTTAGCACAGGTTGCAGGCAAATACAGGACAACTGCAGTCAACAAGGCAAATCAACCCCAAGCAACGGAAGCTGAACTCTGCAGAAAACACTGACGTTGTTAGGTTCATATGCGCATAAATAGTTGAATGATGTGTCAAAGCAGAGGGCACTCATATTTTCATGTCAATGCTTATTTTCACCCAAAATAGAACCAGAAGAAAAACACTCTGAAATATCATGGCAACTGCCGTGTAGAGAAAGCGGAATTCTACAAGCACAGACAACTGACTTCATTCAAACAAATATTTACAGAGGAACCAGTGTAATCACACCTGTTACCTACTTCTGCCACTTGTTGATATATTTTCTAAGGAAACGATATACTAATAACTTTGTATTTCACACAACATGATAATAGTCATAGGAGATGACAACACAATGCTTCAATCATCTTGCCGACTGCGACTTTCAGGTTCAGAAAAGGATCAGGTCAAACTTCACTTACTACACAGACGGTACTGGTATTATTCTCAACTGCACGATCTCATGCAGGAATAAATATACAAGTCCTAAAGGCCCGTGTGCAGCACCCGACACTGTCCTCTGAAGCTTCCCCCAAACGGTCTGCATATTTGCATACATCCCAACTCTCAGGCATTTGACTTTCAAGAAACTAAATCATTAATTACTCATGTCACTCTCTCACGACAAAACTGATAAATCGCACACCATACTGGCATCATTTGTAAAAAATACAAATAAAAATCCGTTTAGAATCAACATATAGGTATTAATTCATTGTTTTCAGTGACTTTTCTTTGAAGTATGTTTGCAATTGTGCGTTGGCTGCAGAATGGGGGCGCACACCCACTACAAGTGGAGAAAATAATAGAGTCTGCCTTCTTATCTGTTCTGACATAAGGCCGTTTTGGCCTGGTCCCAATAAAATTAGTTTTGATTAACTTTGTCATTGAACTATGTGTCAGTGAACATGTCAACTTCATCATGTAGTGGTCATGAGTATCTTGCCCAGTCTTTATATTGTTACTTGTGGACTTTCGGAGATTTGAGATATTTATGTTTTTTTATTTGTTTGATCGTGAATTGCACTGAATTGATTAATTATGATCGGAGAGCCACGGTGGACTTGTGCACTCTAATTTGTGTAATGAGCACTCATGATTTTCTTACCGTTTTCATATGTGGTTGTAGTTACAATGATAGTGAACATAATATATGAATGGTACCGTTTTCACCATGCAAATTGGTTTGTCGTGCCAACCAAATTCATGGCCACTTGGAAATTCTTGTTCGTATAACGTTTATGAACCATAAATAATAGTCTGACAAACCGTACTGTTCAACTTCCGGTAAAAATTCAACATGGCAGTAGGTATCGTCTTCACGTGTGTATGAAGGTTGTTATTCGGCAGGTAGAATGTTTAAGAGTGTAATTCATCAGCTTTTTCGCTCCTTATCACTTTGCTCGTCAACAACACCTCGTTTCAGTGCGGGGATATGCGCGACGGGGACACATTCCATTCCACAAACCGACAGAGTTTGAAGAGTTGAACAAATATGATCTTGCAGACGAATCTGAAATCATTTCAGACTTGGATCAAATCGAAGACCAGCTCCTGCGGTCTAAAGCAGATAAGACACGGTTTGTAACCATACCGGGTTTTTTTAAAGATGTCCGCCCTTAACCCCCGTATTGTTTAAAGTCACTATATGCCTAAGAATATACGCCTATGTTTTTTTATAAACAGCCAAAGCCTAACCCTAATCCTAAAATCTAACCCCAAACCCCCGAAATAATCCTAAAAATAGAATACATTTTAAGCGGGGGTTACGGGAGGAACTCTTACCCCTGTCACGGCTTTTGACTTCAAGATCACATCGCCGGTCTCAGGTGACGCGCGTATTATCAACCTCGAATACTACATTTAGTCATTACGGGCACACATAAAAACGGCTTTAAATTTTTTTAAAGAAAAAATCACACTTACATTAGGTTAGTTCAGCCAGCTAAACGTATACCTTGGTAGGAACACGATGTTTAGCTGGCTGAACTAACATTAGGTATGTTTGGATTATTTTTGGTCTATACTGATTAGAATCCTCTTTAGTCTAATGATTTAATGTAGATGTATTCGGTTTGAAGACAGCTTTGTCTTTATCTTGTTTGAATTATTTGAAAAAACAGATTGTTTTCTTAAGTCCAAAATGGATGAATCATTATCTTCAGATTGATGAATTAATATCAGCTTAAGATCACTGTGATGTCCAACAGGTACTCTCAGCTACTTGAAGCTGATATCAATTTTATTACAAAAAGCTATGCATCCAAAGTGACAAACTATGGATGTCTAGTTTTTATGTATGGTTCTTTTTTGTTTCTCATATAGTACAAATTTATGTAATGGTTCATGAATATGGATCTGTATCCTGATACTAGGTGCAGGTGTCAGGTCTCCCTTCACTGTCTGACATACAATCTAACAGACTGGTTGTCATTCATGAATAATTGCACATGGACAAGCTGTGAACTGATTATCATGGTTATTGAATCCAAACTTTGCATTCTCAGTTGCCATTCTAAGACCACTTATTGGGTCTGATTGCAATGTGTATGTCAAATCATTCAGCTGCAATTGATCTCAACATACTCTAACATATCTAAGGCAAAGGGATATAATTAGATTTTTTTTTAACAATGTTTATCATGTGTTTATGCAATGTAACTTATAATACCTAATAAGGTTAATTGTTTTTACTTGTACAAGGGTTACAATGTGCAGCATTCATGAGTTTCTTTCGTATGGTATAGAATCTGTTTGAGTTTATTCTTACAAGTGTAACCAGTTTGTTATTTAAACAGGACTGATTTGTTTCAGAGAAGAAAAGGAAGAACGATTGCAGCTGAAAAAGAAGATTCTGCAAAGGAAATACTTCAAGAAGGCACCTGAACTGAATCTCCTCTCATGGAATGCAAAAGAACAAATTAGATATCTCCATGCTGAATACCCTTATGACTGGACTGTGACTAGATTAGCCAAGAGTTTTCCTGTATCAGAGGAGGGAATCATAGCAATTCTCAAATCAAGTTATGTGCCAAAACAACAGCAAGAAATAACGAGACATGACAATCGTGTCCGTAAAAATTGGCTTGCCGTGAGATCTTACTTGAAGGAAAATAACAATGCATTGGAAGACATTGAAGGTGGACCAGTTGCAGAATCAGTGAGGCATCTAACATCATCAGATAAACTTCCTTTGGTAATAAATGCTGGTGGCATTAACAATGTTCTTGTCCCAGATAGGCTTACTTCACAGACTCACCAGAAGAAACTTGGACTTTTTGAGTCAATAGTCAAAGATTCTAAAGCTATGAGACAACCAAAACATCAACGTGCAAAACTTTTTTCTGATGATAAATCCCTACTTGCAGAAATTTCCAGCATGGGTACATTGAAGACTGATAATGTGACAGATGCAACAAGGGAAGAGGATGCATCAGAAGCACAGAATCCTTCCCGACGCCAGAAAAGATTAGCACAGACCCTTGGTATGGGGAACATGGAGCTAAAATCTCTCAGCTATTCACAACTAGAACAATTGAGTATGTTTGAAACTGGGCCAATTAACAGTGTCCGCCAGGCTGGACGCAATTCTCGTTGGTCAGAAATAGAATCTGAATGGAATGCTGATAAGCAACATGAGAAAAACATACAGACAGAATTTCAAAATTCAAAACTTAGAAAGGATAAGATGGAAAGGTTTCATGAACAATCAGATTACCCTTCAGTGTTCAAGAACAAGAATTCCCCAAGAGGGAGGGAAGATGTATATGAAAAGGACAGTTGTGTTTTTGATGAAGATGGAGAGTTTCTGTATAAAAAACCTTGACATTCTTATTTCATCGTACTTGGGGCTGTTTGGACAATAGTTTCTTATATGTGAAGGGCACAAAGAGCTGCAAAATTGCTGATGCTGCGTAAAGAAACTTTCACTTACATGCAAGAGTTTCAAAAAGAAAGTGTAAGAGAGCTTTAGTTAATATTACTGAACTCACAGTAAGGCCAATATAGTAGATATAATTGATATTTATCTTGTAATAATTATAATCTCCCTCACACCTCCATCTTTAATTTTGGGCGGGACCCAATTTGATTTGACCCCATATATGACTTGGTTCTGTCAGTTTGTTGAATAGATGTGTGCCACAAATGACTAAATGTATCTAAGCATCTCTTTGAATTGAAGACGTTTATGAACTAACACCCTGAAGGAAATATGTGGATGATCATGTAATAAATGTTTTATAAAAATATATCGTTGACAAATTGTTAAGATTCTGCCAAGTTAGCTGCTAATATTCATGGTATGGCTATTTGGTGTGAGCGAGTTGGGTTTTACGCCGCTTTTAGCAATATTCCAGCAATATCATGACAGGGGACACCAGAAATGGGCTTCACACAATGTACCCGGGGGTGTCAGTGGTGTGACAAGCGAATGCTTTAATCACTGGGCTACCCCACCGCCTCTATTTGGTGTGACTTGTCGTAATATTCCAAGAATACTACTAAAAGTGGCATAAGACTATAAGCCCTACAATTTAGCTAATCGAACAGGGTGATCCATCGCTGGTTTCAGAATTAATTGCTATTTTACCCAAGTGCACTGGAACAAATATCAGTAATTGTAACCATGGTAACGGTTTCTTTAATTGTAAAACAAAATACCTACAACTAATTACAAAACAAGAAGATTTATTGTATTGTCTTGAATAATAGTGTTATATGTGTACAAAATGTAACAAACAAGTGCATTCCTGGGAATAGTGATCTCACACATCTGCATCCACACTACACTGCAATGTTCCAGCAATATGCTGGTGGTCTGTGGTATGTAAACAATCAACTTTGGTCCCAGACAAGTGACAAATATAATGAACTATTGCCACACTGTTAAAATAAACCAAGTCACCAAGCGTGACCTGGATTATTTTAGTGGACTCTCAAGACATGTTTAGGTTTCTTGAGACCCATTCCAACCCAGCAGACATCAATAAGTCATATGACCTTCTAGCACCTCACAGGCAGCTTGGGTTAACCGGGTAATAATGTCCATTAGGCTGTATTAGCTTTGAGCATGCCCGTGCAGCATAGAGTTCAGCGACATATAAGTGGCCTCATTATTATTATTTTTATTATGAAACTGAAATGATTGTAAATGTAACACCCTAGTCTGCAGTCCAGAAAACTAGAACCTATAACCCAGCCCAGTGCAGACAGACCACTGGTGTGAGATTCAAATACCTCCAGTGGTGCAGTAATACACTAAGCCAAGAAATATATCTTACTCCCTTGGTTCCAAATCTTATTTTGACTGTTAGCTTTGCTTTCAAACTTTAAACAGCTGTTTGGAACTGAATTGTGGTAGTTAGTAATTGTGATATGGCTCATAGTGTCTACCCCTGAAATATATAACTTGCAGCCGAAGTCTGAAAAACATGTCAACCATGTCAACAGTGACTTTGTCAAGTTGTGAGGAAGCATATATTTGTCGGCATCAACTAAGACCCTTTGCAGTAATGGCCACAAATGGCAATAGAACATAGTCATGACTTTACCAACTGATAAGTCATCCTTCACATTATCAACATATTTTTCAATTTCAGTTCAACAGTGAATCAGTGTCACAAAAAATGAATGAATCTGAGACCCTGCTTTGACAGTTGCCAACTTCATATCAGGACAATGGCAACTTGGTCTCATGGCTGTGTGATACAACTTTTCTGTCTAACCCCACAATTAGAGGAAACTGTTTCGATGTTTGCTGGAACACCACAGCATGCACTGTTGGCAGTAAAACTGCTTCTTACATGGTTACCATCATGTCCAGTGGAAAATGTCAATGAATAATCAAAATGGACAATTGAGCTGGCACATAATTGTATAACTGAAATATTGTTCAAAGTCTCAAAATCTTCTGAAGCTGACACAGACACATCCATGTTCTCTGTGAAAAGTGACCCTACAAATCACCTCCAGGAACTCAGTATACCCAAACACTACACATTGACTTCCTCCGCAGGCAAGGTCAGGGGTGGAAATAACTTTAAAATTGCTAGTATACTCCGGAACAGTGGAACATGTAAAATCACTTGCCCTGATACCTTTTCCACTATACTGGCCATTTTCTTGTTGATTTTGTAAAATAAACGACATAAATAACATTGGAAAGTCAACTGGACACTGGTACAGTGTGATATACAAATTTGCTTGCCCGACAGAAAAAAACACTGGACCCGGACGTTGGGCAATGGGTTATTTCCACCCTGAAGGTACTACCAACTAGGTACAGGCTGAAATTCTGACTTGTTTGGTGGGTTTGTTGTTTAACGCCGCACTCAGCAGTATTCCAGCTATATGGCGGCGGTCTGTAAATAATCGAGTCTGGTCCGGACAGTCCAGTGATCAACAGCATGAACATCGATCTATGCAATTGGGATACAATGACATGTGTCAACCAAGTAAGCGAGCCTGACCACCCGATCCCATTAGTCGCCTTTTATGACAAGCATGGGTTACTGAAGATCAATTCTAAACAGATCTTCACAGGTTCTGATACTCTGAACCATGGTGCACTAGAAGTACAGCATTAAGTTACCAATACAGCGCTAGCCTCTTGGATTATCCATTGTATTCTACCTCCATTACTAGTGTGACATATAACCTGGACAAACTGTTACCATAGCAACATATTACTGACAGCTGCCAGATTGCAGAGCTTTTAAAGGATGATAAATGCACTAGCCACGGACGGGACTGAGATTTTATGCCAGTGTTGACAACTTGCCCGGATTGGACAGCTGCCTGTTTTGACAGCTTCCACTGTAAATGTATAAATATTGGCGCAAGACCTCAAATTTGAATGAAGATCTAGGAGAAATGTTTGAGTGAAATTCTTTACTTGTCTGGTGAAGCTGGTGAATGAACAAGGTCATGCTGATTTGTTCCAGGGTATATATAAACAGTAACAGAGATATTGAATCATCAAGGATTCGGTGCTCCAGGCACTAAAAGTAGCCGACACAACATCAGTGAAATTAGTTATAATAATGCACTTAGTAGTATCCTCCCTTGACCCCTGGTTCCAAGTACACAATACCATACTGCCATTTGTTTTGTGCACACTATATTGTCCATCTGCTTCTCCTAGTTCAAGCCCTTTGCAAAAGCATTCACTGCTCTGTCAACCATTACAACAAACAGGTAGACTAGCAATACAGAAGTGGAGGTCACAAACATGGCCGCTCCCTCAAATACAAAACGAGGAGCGAATATTTTCCACACCATGAGGTGACGTCGATGTAAACCTGCAGCCGCCATGGCACCAAGCACCTGCAACAGACAAGTTAGTTAATTATTGCAGAGTGAGTATGTTTCTGTTTTAAACTGTTTAAATGAGTTTAAGTCAGTTCATGCTGAGTCGGTATGATGTGGAAACATTGTCAAAATAGAATATTATGTTTACCACTTGGATGAAACATGGGTGGTGCTGTCAAACCAAGGGTAAATGTGGGATTCAAACTCAGTCCTATGTGATTCAAACTCAGTCCTATACTTGTAGCACACCTGAGGAGACAACACCCACATAAATATTGTAAACAAGTGAGTATGGTTTTACTCCGCTTGTAGCAATATGCCAGCAACATCACAGCGGGGGACACCAGAAACGGGCTTCACACATTGTTGCCATGTGGGGAATCAAACCAGTGCCTTTGTCATGACAACTGAAAGTTTAGACCACTTGGCTACCCCACCACACCCATAAATACTGTGACATCTGGAATAATGTATTAAACAACATTTGAAAAAGAACAGTGACTGATCTTTGATCATATCTGGTTAAATACAACCCATTTATAACACCCTGATGAATGTGAACAAGTGCTTTTAAATTTAAGCAGGCTAAGTTTAAATACTAACAGGATTTAACGCAATTTGTACTGATCCCCAAGAAGCTACTGGATTTCAGTTAACACACAGTCGTTTCAGCTTACAAGTACCTGAAGAGCTAAATAATTACCTGTTAAAACTAGTAAAGTAAAATATCTCAGTGCTCAGCTTAGTGGTAAAGGTTTGCAGGTATCAAATAAATTATCAACTTATCTTGTAGAGGTTAATTATTACAGGGATAGAATATTGAAGGTCATTTGTTATTAAATTCATTCATGAAATATTTTCCCAAAGTGGCATCACACTTCTAGTTCACATAAGATTCAGTTTCTCAAAACAATGCAGCTCCGCACACAAAGACAACAAAAGTGCTGGAAAACAACATGTAAAGCGAACCGAAAGGCTTGCATTGGACTCATCTGTTCTTATTTGAGAACAAGTGTGTTTGATTATAAGTGTGTATTTTTGTGTGTTGTCGGGAGCCGAAACATCTCTTGCCGAACAGGGCAAGCATAACTGAGCAAGTCTGGGAGGTATTGACTATTATTTACAAGCAATGTTTCAGAATGGTCAACATACCAGGGGTGGAAATAACCCATTGCCTGACTCCTGAGTCCAGTGTTTTTTTCTGTTGGGCAAGCAAATTTGTATATCACACTGTACCGGTGTCGAGTCTTTCCAATATTAATTATGTTGTTTATTTAAAAAATCTACAAGAAAACGGCCGGTATAGTGGAAAAATTATCAGGGCAAGTGATTTTACATGTTCCACTGTACCGGAGTACACTAGCAATTTTAAAGTTATTTCCACCCCTGTATACTATGATTAACTATCAAGAACACACAAGCTATCAAACCTCCTCAGCCTTACCTTAACTGCTGAAAACAGTAATAAACCAAACACAAGTCTCATGATGTTTTTCCTGAATGAAGGTCTGTCATCGTAAGCTACAAAGTCTCCTCGCCACACGCGGTCCTTCTTTGACACATGTCGCATTAGCTGAGACACAACACCCTCTAGATGGGGCCAGAACATCAACAAAGGGGAGATAACTACAAAGAATACTTGTGAGGAAAATGTATTGAGAGCAATAAGGAGTGCTGGGATGACATTGTATTTAAAATCGCCATGGAAACCAGTGAATGCTGACTCAAATCTAATGGCAGGAACAGTTGTTTGATGTCCAGTTGCGAAGAAGAATGTCGACATGAGGAGTCCAAGTGTGACAATGGCGGACAATGGAACAAGATGATGTTTGTCTGAAATAAAGAAAACATTGTATCAAACGTTAGATGACAAAATAATGAAATTATATGAATTTCCTCACCCAATACTTCACAAGTGAGTGAGTGAGTGAGTGAGTTTAGTTTACGCCGCACTCAGCAATATTCCAGCTATATAGTGGCGGTCTGTAAATAATCAAGTCTGGACCAGACAATCCAGTGATCAACAGCATGAGCATCGATCTCATGTGTCAACCGATGACGTGTCAACCAAGTCAGCGAGCCTGACCACACGATTTCGTTAGTCGCCTCTTACAACCAGCATGGGTTACTGAAGATCAATATTTTAACTCGGACCTTCACGAGTAACTTCACAAGTAGTATGCACCTCTGTCATTAGAGGGATGGACAGGGGGTGGAGGTACGGTAGTATACTAATTATTGAAGACTCAACTTCAAATCCCCATATAGGTACAATGTGGACTTTTAGTTTCCCGATGCAATGTTCTAGCAGGATACTATTTAAACATAGTAAAACGTTATTCCCTTAGTCTTTTATCTCCTTGATTTGTTAAAGAACATAATCATATTCACCCATAACAGTGATGGAAACTGAGAGAGTTTTGTTTATCACTGCATTTCAGACATATATCTTTTTGATGTAGGATTACAGACAAAACAGATACAGGTGAGACAGTTGCAACTTTGGTGAAACCCATATGAAAATCATTTTTGCAAATTCTGAACATAATCAGGTCAAATTTTGAATTCAAACCATGATCAAATACCTAAGGGAAGCAACACAGCACAGATAATTGCACACATTTTACCACTTGGCCATCCCTTCTGGGCAATGGAAATACAGGCTGAAATTCTGATTTGGTTGGTGGGTTTGTTGTTCAACGCTGCACTCAGCAATATTCCAGCTATATGGCGGCGGTCTGTAAATAATCGAGTCTGGACCAGACAATCCAGTGATCAACAGCATGAACATCGATCTACGCAATTGGGATACAATGACATGTCAACCAAGTCAGCGAACCTGACCACCCAATCCCGTTAGTCTCTTACGACAAGCTGAAGATCAATTCTAACCCAGATCTTCAAAAGTCTATAAATTAGGGATGCAATTGAAATTAAGGATGCAGTTGAAATATTACATGCAATATGAACACAAATAATTCATGCAACAATTTGCATTTGGCTTTTGTCTTAATTTTGTTTTTAACATATCACCAACCAGTACTTTTCGTTCATACAATTACATTTTCAGTTTGCTCCAGAAAAGAGAGGGAAGAATCTGGATCAGGGTTTGGAGTATATGTTGTCATAGTAGAGAGAGAATTTGGTTTTACACCACATTTAGTAGTATTCCAGTAATATCACAGTGAGGGACATTGGAAAATGGGCTTCACACATTGTACCCATGTGTGGAATCGAACTCGGGTCTTCCGTGTGACAAGCAAACGCTTTAACCACTAGGTTACCACCACCGCCCTCTGTTATAGTAAACAGTCACATATATACATACATATTTTTATTACCTGTTGTTTCAATTTGATGAAACACACTTGCTCCATAAATCTCATAAAAGATATACACAGTCAAGAGCGTAAGAAGCAGACTTGGTGCCAGGCCATCACCTAGCAACAGTGACAATAACAACCCTGTCACTATGACAACCTGTAAACAGCTGGCACTGTAGACTGAGCCCAGTCCATACACTACTGGCGGTTTTGCTTCTGTATCTGTTTCTGTTCTGAAGCGTTCACGGAGATGTTTATACACTGAGGGGATCACCTGGGGCCCGTCTAAACCTCCACGGGGAATCGGTATTGATGGATCCCTAGCAGAGGGTAGCTTGTACAAACAAAGTGGCTTGAAGATGAGGATGAGGATCGAGAGGAGGAGCGACATGTACACAAGCTGAGCCAGAAGCACCTGCTGCCACCAAGGGAGATAATCCAGTACCTGCACTGGAAGTCCTTGCATAGCCCAGTGTAGACAACAGCAAACTCCTGCAAATGGATACGCAAATCTCATGCACATCACAGCTGGTGCATATCCATTGAGGTTGCCATAACATTTTAGCCATTGGCGGATGGATATGATGAAAACTGATAGAGCAGCAATACTGAAGAAATATCTGACGTTTCTGTAGCCTACGGCATCGACTGCCAGGTTTGCAAGAGGTTTCATGAATATAGTGTTGTTGCAGAACCATTGTTCCTCTCTGCATGCACGGAATGGAACTGACAGTCGAAGAAAAACACTGCAGGTCAAGGTGAAGACAAGGGTCAAGGTCACTGGGTGAGACAAAAGGCTCAGTACATTGATGGTCAGTCTGGATTTACTGCGTCTTGCTGCTATTTCTTTATGACTCTTCTGAGATAAGTAGATTGACATGTTGTACTTCATATTTTTTAAGCCAAACATCCAGATCATGGTTTGTGAGAAGAACATTGTTACGCTATCTTCCAGTACCACGAAACTATTTGAGAAATACACAAGAAAATACAAAACACAAATTGTGATTCCAAATATATCATCAAAGTTTAACGAATGTTTTGTATTCTGTAACTTTGGGCTACCTTCAGTCTTGGTTTCTCCGTAAAAGGAATTCTTGATCAAAATCCACAGAACTAGAAGCAGCATACCTCCTAGCACAAACAACATCATTGGATTAACAAATTCCGACAGATAAAAAGTTTGCACAATGGCATAAACCAGATAAACCACACCTCCAGTCACCCCAAAACAGACAGGGGTCCAAGATTCATGTCCATCTCTGGTCAAACAACATAGTATCAGTATGTTGATACTAAAACCTACAGCCATTGTTAATATTCCAATCAAGATGGACATTATATCAAACTTAGCCCATATTCTCTGGCAAATGTCCCGAACATCTGTCATAAATTGAGTATAATGATCTTCTAATTTCCTGAATCTTTTCAAAATGTCAGGAGTCTCTCCTTCTTGCACCATAGAGGTTAAAAGACTCTGAAGGTCATTCTCTGAATGTTTCAGCAGTTCCTGTAATCTGCTCCACTTGTCTTCAGGGAAATCGGACGATACTGTTGAGTAGGTCTTCAGGTATTTATTGATCTGGTGTGCGTTGAGACGGAGTGCCTTCACAGCGTGGTACACCTGCTTGATTTCACTGATGCTTGTCTTCCACCATGAACAATGTGTGAAGAGGTCCTTGATCACCATTCCGAGGTTGGAGAAGGGGATGGGCACGCCCAGCAAGAGCGCCAGTGTGGGGACGAGATCAGTCTGGGCCACGGTGTTCACAGCATCCTGAAATGACAGCATCAGTAATATTCCAGCTATATGGCGAAGGTCAGTAAATAATCGAGTCTGGACCAGACAATCCAGTGATCAATAGCATGAGTATCGATCTGCGCAATGGGGAACTGATGACATGTGTCAACGAAGCCAGCGAACCTGACCACTCGATCCCGTCAGTCAGCCTCTTACGACAAGCATGGGTTACTGAAGATTCATTCTAACCCGGATCTTCACGAGTCAACAGCATCAGAATTACCCATTTGCATTTGAATCCATTTGCTTTCGTTAATGCACAGACAACTTAAAGGTTTACAGCTCATCTTGTCTGATTTAATGTAAATCCTTTTTGTGAAACTGACTTCACAAAAAATGTAGACATAGGATTACTTAGCTTTCTATTCACAGTTTCTATATAAATTGTTACAACTTTAATTTAACAAACATTTTTTGTTTTTTAACATGAACAATTTATTGCCTTGACTAAAATTGAGTACTCCTTTGGTGAGCAAGACTTTCCACAACATAAACATGTTTACAGAAAGGTGATGCAAACGCTTAACAGACAACAGCTGTAGCATAAATATCATAGGCAATCAGCAGGTCTATGAAAGAGTATTATCTGACCGATATTTTTCATGCACCACCCCTCAAACAAAATCAATACAACACACTGGTTTATAATCTGTTGCTGTCAGTTGAGACGGGCTGTAGACAAACAGGCCTGCTTCCAACTCATCATTGCTGTCTCCACCATGATCGCCAGTCCTCGTCATTCCGTGGTCCCCCAGTACAAACAGCACCGTATCATCCTTCATTTCCCGCGTCACATTGCTGAATGCAAAATTGAAATCATAAACCTTCACTCTGCAACATATTCCATATTTGTATTTTTTCCCCTTAAAGACATATTGGTCTGCCAATACCCTACCTAGTAATATAAAACTGGGTAGATAGATGATAAGAAAACCATCTAACATTTTAGTCATAATAGTTTTTTTATAGACCACATAAGAACGATCCATCCATGAGATCTTTTCTCAGTCATTGTTACACTTAAGTTTGGCAGAAATTAGAGTTAAAATGCAGCAATGATCACTCAAATAGTGATGCACTTGCATTATTTCCATGGTCAAAGCTTCACAGTTGTCATCCACAAGTTGTTCTTCATCATTACATGACATGATTAGGTTCTTATTACATGTTATCCAGTGTATAACATATCCATTCCATAATGATAAAAACCCTAGACACAGGTCTTGTCGTCTTGTGTTATACCATCTCAGGTCTTGTCGTCTTGTGTTATACCATCTCAGGTCTTGTCGTCTTGTGTTATACCATCTCAGTTCTTGTCGTCTTGTGTTATACCATCTCAGGTCTTGTCGTCTTGTGTTATACCATCTCAGTTATACCATGTCTTGTCGTCTTGTGTTATACCATCTCAGGTCTTGTCGTCTTGTGTTATACCATCTCAGGTCTTGTCGTCTTGTGTTATACCATCTCAGGTCTTGTCGTCTTGTGTTATACCATCTCAGGTCTTGTCGTCTTGTGTTATACCATCTCAAATAATACTGGGAACGCTGGTCAACATAAAGACTTTCAATCCCTCTATTTGAATACTGGAGAATCATCTTTTTCTATCTGGAAGTCCAATTTGATTTGTAGTAACATCCTTTCTTTGAAATATATACGAAGAGCCAACTCAAGTAAGGCTGCGATTTCGAGTGTAGATCCCTGTTGAACTACCATATAGAAGCAGAATTTGGTTTTGCATTTGATTTCAATGTTATCAGCCACAGAAAGTAGGCGCTAGATTAGCAAACCTGATATCACTTTTGTAACAAACATTTGATGTCGTATGTGTATCATGTTGGAATGGAAATATGAGATGCTTGAAAACAAGGAGTACAGGTGCTATGTGACAATGTTTCCCAAAACAAGATTAACCATAAGGTAACACATTTAGATTTTACTTCAACTGTAAACCCAAAGGATCCTTGAACCACTCTTAAGTTCTAACACTGGCAGCCAGTATTGTAAGATGTTGCCTGCCTATTATTTACCTGAGCATCTGATCCATTTGTGAAAGTTTTTCTGCCATTGCTGGATGATTAGGTCCAAATCTATGACCACAATGATCAACTCCAAGAAAGTGGGCAATCATGATATCCCAGTTTCGTCTGCGAATTTCAGGCATGAGATGATGAAGTATACCATTGTCAACTGTATGGAGATCTTTAACATTGAAAGACGGAAATGGAAATGCCTTCGAAAAACGGTCAGGAAATAGTCCCATCCATGTGTCATCACCGAGAAACTTTATCTTTTTATCTTGTGCAATTAACTGATCAATGATGTTATCTTCGGTTATTTCAGCACTAGCAAAGTTTGCCCCAGCATCTACAAAAGTAGGCAAACTACCGGTTGTAAGTCCCTTTATGCGCTGTAATGTCGTTGTTGGGGGGTCTGCAATAAATCTATATAATCTTGAATGTTTTGGTTTGCGATTTAAAACATTATTCAAGAAAGGAAGTTTGTTCAAGAAATATGAATTTGATTTAAGCTTTGAGTCATACTTCATAAATTCGTATTTCAAAGCGTCTATAACAATGATTATTGCTCTTTTGAATCTGGAATGTTGCCAACACCCCTCGTCTCCATGATCATCCTTCTGCACCGAAAATTCAACATGACAGGTGCTGTTTTCATTGACAACCGATCGTTTCAGTAGAAAGCCTTTGGTAAAAATTAGACATCCTGTCGAATATATCACGATCAGACTGATCACAAGCAGACAGACTTTAACTCCCTGTTGCATTATTGAAGTAAGTGTCAGTGGTGTTGAAGGAAAACGGTAGAATAGTTACTACGGAACAATTTCTTTCTTATTCATGCCTGGGGCATGGACGCAGACATATTGGAGGTACGCGCTAATTATTTCCCGATGGATGATTGGTTCACTCTTTCAGGCGCAAATGTCTGATGCTATTTGCCAAAGACATATTTCAAGATGGCCGTTCCGTCATTGAAAAGTATTTATCTCTAAGAATGTTCAGTACAAAACATAATTTTGATTTTCCAATCGTTACTCCGATGCAACTGCTAACGTATGTTTCAAGTTCAGTGTTTTCTTGTTTTACCTCAGTGTAGTTGCAAAGTGACAATATCGACAGTGTGTAGGAATATCGTACCTATTTTGTTTGACGTCAAAGTCGCCATTTTCTGAGGAAAGAGAGCCAGACTGTCGTCAAGCGAAGTTTCCCTTGAAAATGTCTGACGTTGAAGAATCTAACCAGGTAGTGACGGGAAACCTATTAGCTTAAATACGTAGTTAACGAAAGCAGATACAATTTTATTTGGGAAACCCATTTTTAACTTCATAATTACACGCATGGGTGTTATAAAGTGTTCGTGTTTACCTTTCGGAAAGTGTTCAAGTTCACACAGCAATAAAATTTCCGTTGTGGAGTGATTCAACAAATGTTTTGGCATCTCCAGAATGAGGTGAAATTAATTGAAAACTGAGTATATGTGTATCTTCTCTCGGATCACCCCCGGGTATGCCGTGGCTCTTTTCAACTGAACTAAATGTTTGAATTTTGGACACAGCGCTAACACACCCTCCACTCCAGTGCACTTGAGCAGTGTTTACTAATAGATAACATCGGGTAATGATTAGAGACATATAAGTTGAGAATATGTACTTAACTATAACAGCATCATGTTAAGAAACATGCTTAGGAAATTTCACAGGAAAATAATAAGTCACGTAACTCAAGAAGGTCGTTTGTGTCTGAATGAATGAGTTTCATGTCTTGTTGAATTCTCCTATTTCAAACGTGTCAAATAGACACGAGAGGCTATTGAAATTCCATACTGTCATGTTAACTTAGTGTGTCATTGTCTTTATGGCCTTGACCTCACTTGAAGCTATCAAGACAGCCAGTCTGAAGTTAATTGCCGAATCTAGGGGATCAGGCAGTTGAGACATATGACTAGACAGGAAAAAGTCCATGTTTCAGTACAAAGAGTTACATGTGTTTTCAAAGGACTCCATGGTTTATCTCTCCCCCTTTCAATGTGCTTAGATAACATCATGTTTTAGTTTTTCATGCATTATTTTGTCTGTTAGCATGTGTGAGTATTTTTTTTATGTTCCATCGCTATAATTTTATTCAATGTTTACGACGTCATGATTTGAGTTAACGGTAAGAATGCATTATACCAGATACCTAGCAGGGTTAGGGTTATTTTCATCTCTGTTTTATTTTTTTTCACCTTTCCGCGTTCGCATCACTTGACCTAATTAAATATGACAGGCAGGTATCCGGTATAATGCATGTTTATTGAAACGCTCATTCCTGTAGTATTGTGAATAATAACATATATATGGAAAGAAAGATTACCTGTACTTTTAGATACAACAGTATTAGGAAGTTACTGATACAAGAAAATTCAGGTGAGGTGTTGGAAAAGTAATACAAGAAACACAAGATACCAGGAACTTCTTATGCTGGTTTTCTGTCTATATGGCCCACTGTGGATTTGAATATGTTTATGTTTGTTTTTATTTGTTATTTAACTCTGCACTCAGCAGAATAATCGCAGTAAATAATCACATCTGACAAGACAGTCCAGTGATGGACATGAACGGAGATCAAGACAGTTGGAATTTTGATGGCATGCATCATAATGTCAGTGAGCCTGACCCCATCCTGTTTGCAGCCTCATACAACAAGGGTTGCTAGGTCATATCGTCACAGGTAGTCAGGTATGATCCAGATGCCAAGGCTTGATGTAAAAAAGGGACTGGATTTGTTCTGGATGAGATGGCTGAAGTGACTTGTTTGATAGGATGTTAACATACCCTCACATCTTGGATCAATCTGTGATAGTGGTTGTTTCAATTAGTGTTGGGAATTGGTTGAAATTTCAGAATTGATGATTGCTTTATTACCAACGAACAATCATAAAAAAAAATTGGTTAGCGTCATTTTTCAGATTTTCCTATCCAGGTTGTTATTGCAGATAAGTATAACATGATACAACGTGATACTCTAAAGTGATGACTAATATATCATGAACATAAACCTCCTGGAGTCTTCAAGAAATATTCAGTCATGACTTTTCAGTTAGTGAAGTGAGTTTTCTAAGAATCAAACAAGTTTTCAGAACCTGACAACTTCTATGATATGTTCCATCGTCAAGTGTTTCAAAGACTAAAACTGCAGTTCCAAAATCGTTTGTGTTCGATTATGAGAAAATGTGATCGATTGCTTGGTCGTTTGGTCACTTCGACCAATCTTCGATTATTTCAATTAATCAGAACACCACTAATTTCAATTGATTGTTTACAAGCTGACTTCACATGGCTGAACTATTGAGGTGTTGTACAATTCACATGTAAAACTAAATAGCAATAAATATATCTGTTCACATTGATTATTTTAGCCTCAGACCCAGCCTCAGACACAACCTCAGATCCAACCTCAGATCCAACCACAGCCTGACAAGAAGGCTTTGGAGCAGAGGGAGGCTGACAAGCTCAAGGCCAAGTACCCATCTTTAAGCAACTCTGGGGGTTCTGCTTTACTTCACAAAAGATTGGCTAAAGGAGTAAGTTGTCCCATCATGCAGTGTTTTACTTACACTTGTATCTACCCACTTGCTCTGTGGTCGTTATTCTGTGTTTATTCATCTTCTGCCTGTTGTAGTATTTGGTATATTTTTACTCCATTGGTACAGACTGTTGGGTATTTTAAACCACTGAATATATCTATGTTAAGAAAGCAATTGTCTTCTATGACAAAGTTTATATTGTAATCAGGCAACTATTAATTTGCATCTCTTCATATGTTGCCCCGAGTATGCCAAGTGAGTCAAATCTTGCTTAAGCTTACAATAGCAGTTTATGTTAAAATAACAGAGACAGTTATCTTGTGCATTATTCACTGCAGTAGGCTTCTTGATATGGTAAATATGTTACCTACATTGAATTGTTAGTAACAATATGCATGGAAATACAGCACAGCCCAGCAAGCTGAAGACGCATTAGGTGATTACACCCATTTTTGCAAGTGGGTTTGTTTTGTTTTTCCACTGCTTAAACAAGCAATTCAAAGTAAATTAGATAATAATTGTTTTGTTTTTGTTGCACATTAAACAGGAGGACCTTTTCTGTAATATTTGTATAAATCTACCAATGTTTTCATAAATTTTCTTGTGTTCTGCAAAGAAATAGTTTTATGATTAACTTGAACAAGGTTAGAGAGTTATATTTGACATTTGGAATGTTTCAGTTATATAACAACTGAACAAGGAAGAAAATGTATACATGTTACAGATGTGATTTACATGAACATAACTAACTTCCAATGTTTGCTTTCAGCAAAAATATTTTGACTCTGGTGACTACAATATGGCCAAGGCAAAGATGAACAACCCAAAGAGGCCTCTTGCACCCAATGAAAAACTTTTCTTGCAAGAATCAATTGGAGAGACTATTCCAACCCCAGAAACCCTTCCACCTCGCAAACCCTCAATAGTGACAAGCAAACTTGCATCAGGAGCACTCTCTTGATTGAGCAATGGCAAAGTTCCTAAAGAGACAATTTGGCTAAGGGGAGAAAACTCTAAAGGAAGGCCAATGACTGAAACAGTATCTTGGTTGTCATTGTTATGATGGTTACTGTAAGCTTGAACTGACCTGGATGGATGTGTATATAGGGGCGTGTTTCACACACAATCACACTCACAGGGATCTACATGAGTATTCCTTTGTTTTAGTTTATCAGACATACATCGTTATTCATGTGTAATTAGTAATCATGGTAGTGGAATGAAGACCTTTAGTGCTTGGTTTCCTCCTGCTTGTTGTGCCTCTTTATTGCAGAGCTTTTGTCAAGAGTTAGTGTGCATGTCACCTACAGAGATATTCTTGTAACTAGTTATCATTGTGGTGCTGTTTTGATTTCATACCTATGAAGGTAGTGTTCCCATATCACAGTAGTCCCCATCAAGCATATCAAGCTAAAAGACAAATTGAATTGCTTTTCTGATGAATATCTCTCGAGCACAACATCAATATCCTCTAATGTTCTTGTTGATTTGTGACCTTCTTTCATCTCATCATGCTTTGATTGCAATGATACTGACTTCCACAGCTGACTAACATATGGGGTGTTTAACCCTGGTAGAAAGCATAATATAAGCTGGATGAAGTATCTTAGCTGTAAGTAGGTAACTTATGCTCGCAGGGGTTTAACAGAATTATATATCAAATTGGCACTTAACCCACTAACCAGTGTCCTTGTTCACGTGAAATCCTAAAGGCTAGTCAAATTTCAGCTTTTGTAGGGTGGCATTGCGGATGTGTGGTTAAGTTGTAATCTGTTTGGTTTGCTTTATTTTGAAAATGACAATTTTAAAAGAATAAGTTTTCGACGCTACATTTGTATTGCACAACATCAAAATTAGAATTAACATGGTCTTGATCAGTATTTGTCTTTTTTTTGCATTGTTGTTGAAAACTGTACAGGCTCATCTTTAGTTTCTTTGAAGGTCTCCAGTGTATATAGCTGCCTTGTTTCTGTTCATTGGGCAGATTATGAGGATAAATATGTCACTTCAGGGTTAGAATTGGTAGCAGGTAATAAAATGACACAGGGAAGTCATTTTGCTACACAGGACATGTATGCTAGTAAATGTCTGGTACTAGCGAGGACTTGTCATCTGTTTTTTCTGGTTTGCATCAGCACCTACTGCCAAGGGAGCTAACCATACCTACTACTTATATAGCAACTGTTAATCAAACGATAAAGTGGAAGAATAAAACTGGTATAAGAATGTTTGTGTTAATTCATTGAAATGTTGGGTTTGGCCACCATGGAAAGGTCTCAGTCAGTGTCATTTATTCTTGTACGCTGTTAATGGCTGCATGGACATACGGTTAGTAATCATATTCAGTTGACTACAGTATGAAAGTTTGGGCTTTAATTATTAAAGAAATACTTAATCCTGACTGAGACTCGGATAGCAAATCATTGTTTCTTTGCTGAAAATAAGAGTACATTTCTAACCTTTTTTATAATATATGGTTGTATAATCAATAAGAGCTTGATGCATGGATCACAAGACTTCTTTCTTGTTTCGTAGACTTTTCTTGTAAAAGGTCAAACATTGTACTATATTTGTCCGGAGCTTTCACATTTACTACTGCCTATGATGAAGAAAATTATCCATGATGGCTGATATGGCAGGCGCAGCCAGTATGTTAAAGATTGTTGGAATATATCATGAAAAGTTTGAATGCAAGCGAACTGTGTGTATCACGTGTATTCAGAATGTGTATATATGTAGGTCTTGTTTGTCATTTATTGTTGTATTTGTGGCCATATCTCTCATTTAAAATGAGAAACACATTTTCTAAAAGCAGGTGTACATAATAGTACTATGTTCAGAAAAATTATTTGATTACTATATGTATGGGATATGGCATCAGAATGGTACACTGAACACCCCTGTTATGTCTTTTAACATAGTTAAAGCACTCCTTTTATTCAACAACTACTTTCCCTGAAAACTCAATTTTTTCGTGTCAGAAATACTTCAAATGTTTCCAGGATCTTGTGTATGTGGTCCATATGAATTAATGTTAATAGGATTACATTAATGTGTTTTCCATCTGTTAAATATTTTCCAGCATTAAATGTGCTATGTGTTTATGTGTCCGTTATTAATAGAGTATTGTTTCAGTTGTTAGATAGTTGCACACAAAATGCATAAAGTTGTAAGTTGCATCAAACATCACAATTATTTTTATTTAGAAACAGTAACTTGGTTTAATGACTAAGCAACACAAATAAGTCCGTTTCTTTCATGGCAAACTGCACGAAAGTAAAACAAATGTTCATGTTGAAGCTAAATGCTTTGTTACAGTAATACAGTTACATAAAACACATTAAATTGTCAGAAATAATTTTTTTTGTGTTAACTATGTGATAAGACATTTAGTGCATGTTTAGTAAGGGTAAGAAGTGAAATATGTGGATTCAGGATTCCAGTTTGAAGAAGTTTTAAGAAAGCAGTCTGACTAAAGTTAATGAAAACTAGGAAAGTCCTTGTCTCTTCTGTTGTGGTGAGTCTGTCTTGTGAAAGAAGAACAATAGATGCGTCAATATCAAATGTACACTGTTGTTTTAAATAGAACCATCAAGCTTTATAAATTACGCTGGAATTTTATCAGAAATAAAGTTTGATGTTCAGTTTCTAGAAATCTTGCTTATTTTTTCCACTATACCCATATTATTATGTGAAGACAATGTAGATAAAATCAGAACAAAAGTTATCACATGTGGACAAAGTTAGAATAGTGTTGAGATGTATCCCTTCCGGTATTGAAGTCTGAATTCATATTTAGCCAAAATTGCCAAATGAGTATGGATAGGGATAACCCCCATTGGTAAATTCCAATGTGTCCACGGCTCATTTTGACAGCCTTTTGTAAAATATTCAGCCTAACATTTTATAAATACACACACAAAAAGTCATTGCTACTCAAAGGTGTTGTCCTTAGAAAATGTTCAGTAGGAGAGATTTTGGTTGAAATCAACTTGACACTCCAGAGTTTCACTGGCCGTACCAACAGACTTATGGACCAGTCTACATACCTGAAGGATGATAAACGTGTGCAAGTAAGCCTGAGAATAGTAGACAATTTATAGTAAAAGGAAATGATATGAAAAAGAAATTGCTATTCATGTCTGTCTGTATAAAGTCTTTCTATTCTCTATCTATGTGAGTTTGTTCAAAATTGCCTCTGTTCACCCAACAGAAAATGGGTACCCAGTGGGATAAGTCATGTGACTATAACCTAGAGCCACACAGGCAGCTTGAGTTATCCAGGGTAATAATGTTTTAGTGCTTTGAGCATGCACAAGTAATGGAAACAGGCGTTTAAGAAATAGCCATTGTTCTCACCAGGAATATCCACTGGATTGGTATAGAAGATGTCCGGCAGATGCGAAACTGCACTTTGCTGCTGAGTTCGGTACACATGATAATCACTATTTATACACATACATGACAGACAAATATACTATAAGTTCCAGTTCAGATTTTTATTTTGACTCAATTTCACCAAACACATGTAATCCATAATAATAGTACTGTCAAAGGAGTTTAATTTCCTGTTGCGTGAATAGTGTTTTATAATATATATTTCAAGAAACATTTTCTAACCCTACCAAACAGTCATATCAATTTCAAGAATTCATCTCAGTTGTTGATAAGGAGACAAGTCGTTATTTCCCGACAGCAACCTTTTTCTTGTTATGTTGATAACATGAGTATGTTTAAATTTCTGCACCACCATGACATTGCTCAAATATTGCTAAAAGTGGCGTACAACTAAACTCTTCACTCACTAAAATATCTGCACAACAAATAGCTTACCTGTATTCTACTTGTAGAATAATTATGGAACATGTAAGTCATTCAATAACAATAAAAGTATCTATTTACAAACATCGTTGTTGAACACACATACAATAAGTTATAATACTGATACCGGGTAGTCCATAAAATAGTCACTTTTATGTCAGAACTTACATCATGTACGTGGTGAGAAAATACTTACATACGTATCATACATTCAATCTCATTAAGAACTGATACTCCCCTCTTCCATGACAACCATCCATATTCTCTATTCAGAAGTGCCTGTCTGTTTTTATTTTGGTACACAGATATGCTGCTCTAAGTTCTCTCGATCTGCTCACTTTTAGTTTTACCAAGAAGTTAATGTATTCTTGATGACTAAATGATAAGAAAAGTAACTAGCTGGAGTATGTGAGGCATTTGCAGAAAGGTAGCAGTCAATCCTGTAGGATATGATTTAAATCATGTTAAATGAATGAATACGCTGCATCAGCAATTTTCCAGCTATTTGCAGTGAATCATGTTAAATGAGATTGATAGTTAATAACATGAACACTTATAGGATGGCCCACTGAGAGATGCTCGTGTAAATGCAATTCAGTTACAGCCACAGCAGAATAAGAACCTGAGGGAATAAATGTAGTACTTGAGGGATGAAAGCAACTGTTATGTTCCAGATCAATAGATCATATGTTTCTACAATACTTACACATTTTGCCATGATAATCCTGAGAATACAAGAATTACACTATGAATGCATGCAGTCAATTTTCTATGATTTATGTGAAGTGAATATAATGTTGAAAAAGCAGTGTTGCATGAGGCATACACAATACCTACCGGTAAGCTATTGTATTTGTTTGCTTCATACCACACTAAGCAGCATGCGAGCTATATGATAACAGTCTGTAAATATACACGACTGAACCAGTCAGTCTAGTGTTTGAAATCATGAGCATCAATTGATGCATTTGAGATATGATCAGATGTATCAGACAAGTCAGTGAACCTAACCACCAGATAATGTTAGTTGTCTTTTACAACAAGGGTTTGTTCCTGAAGACAAATTCAAAGCCAAATCTTCATGGGTTCTAGCCTATTATGGCATGTTTAAGTAAAAGGAGTAGTTTCCTCTTCTCCATCATTGTTTACGCTGCTCAGAATATTTCACATATTGATAATAGAGTGAAGAAACCAAAAGCATTCTTTGGGATAATTGAGTTTCTGGATTCAGGTAAAAGTAAATTTAACTTTTATACTAATTTGGGAAGATAGCTCACACTGTGACATGTTGACAATTACATATGGCTGAAAAAACATGATCACTGATACCAAGGATCACAATCTAGGATTTGAACCCCCAATCACAGGATCTTTGCACAGCTAAGGGAGGCAATTCAGCAGAAGCACATTTAACTGCAGTTTACACAGCAAAGTGAACATACAGTACTAGACTTGCAATCAGATTCAACCAAAACATTAACAAAAACATGCTGTATTTCATGTAATAATAAATTACTAAATCAGTAAATCATGAAAATGAAATTTTGAAATTGAATCATGCCATGTCAGATTTATTAACCAATCTTGAAAGATAGAAACCTAGGTGTCATTTTCACAAGAGTCAAAAGGGTTTATTTCCCATCATGCTCAAATACTTGTTTCAATGCATATCTACAACATTGACAAGTGCATACCGAAGATGGGTACTGTCATGATGCATACAGATGATGCTTTAAACTGCTACAGTGACATCTTGGTCATGTGGTCACAAGGACTGGTATTATTTTCTATCACAGATGTGCAAGTCCCAGCCTGTTGGGAAATTCAACCGAAGGAGAAGCGGTCATCCCAGGCTGGCTTTTCTTTGGCACTTTTACTTGTGGGACGTTTAGGTTTCTTTGATGAATCACCTCTCCTCTGAAAAATAAACCAAATACATTGTTTCATTTGTTGTTTAGAGACACAGTTGGCAATATTCTAGAAATGTGGCATATGGTTTTATCTTGTCCTACTGAACTAAGGGTCTAGAGAACCTCCAAATACTCATTTCTATTCCCTTATCATGCTTATAGGACATTTGAGGTTCTTGTAAAGTGATGAAATAGTGTAGTCTACTGTAGTTGAAGATGTAACAATTAATTTTACAACAGAAACTATATATTTTTTGTTGAAAATTTGGTACAATGACTATTGTGTGTCCCTCCAGGTGTAATGTATTTTTCTTCTGCATTCATTTTGCATGTCTGTGTGTACAGGATGCACATTTCTGTGTTGCGTAAAACCCGGATGGCAGTCTTGAACCACAAAATCCAGTGATAAGTAATGTAAGCAACAATCCATGTTCTTAGAGTATGAGACCCATGAAGATCCTGGTTAGAATTGGTCTGCAGTAACCCATGCTTGTTGTAAGAGGTGACTAATGGGATTGGGTGGTCAGACTCACTGACTTGATTGACACATGTCATCGCACCCCAATTAGGTAGATCAATGTTCATGCTGTTGATCACTGCATTGTCTGGTCCAGACTTTATTATTTGCAGGCTGCTGCCATATAGCTGGAATATTGCTGAGTGCGGTATTAAACAACAAACAAACAAACCAACCAATCTTAGAGCACGAGGATGCTATCAGTCAACTTGATGGCATCAAGTTTTCCCACCTAACCTATTTAGTCACCTCTTTGAACAGCACTGGTTGCTTGGGACCTATTTGACTGGGAATCCCTATGGTAGATGTAAGATGATTTATATATTCTTTGTAAGAATAGAAATATGTCAAGGTATCAGCTCTTGTCCATTAGATGATGGTTAGGCCCTGAACAGCTATAATGTCATAACTTATAGATAGATTACATGGGTGAAAGCCAGAGTGATCTAACACTGCAACAATCTGGATTCTCCTCGTGACCCAATACACAACAGAGGTTGCCATAGATATATTTTGATTCTTATATTTCCTGTATGGCTTTATTATTTATCCTCTTACTGTACTTTGAATGTTATGGATATATCTACGAACAGGTCCATCATATGGACTGGGTAAGTTTGACATATAATAATAATAATAATAATGTCCATTTATATGGCGCTAAACTCCACTGGGGCATTCTCATAGCGCATACAGTCAAGGAAAAGTAAAAACTTGGTAGCAGTACACGGTCACTTTAAAAGTACAAATGGAACAGATGAGTCTTTAAGAGACACTTAAATTGTTCAACGACTGGGTGTCTCTGAGAGAGTCTGGCAGTGAGTTTCATTTAGTGGCAGCTGCAACACTAAAGGACTTGTAACCAAAGGACTTTTTTTTCCATGGTGGCACTGTGACTTTCTGTTGATTCCCAGACCTGAGAGAACATGGTGGAATGTACATACATACAAGATCACACATATCCCATGTGGATTGTCACTGACAATATCAATCACTGGACATTCAGGTCCAGACCATCCTCGATAATCTCCAGGGCATACGTTACGATCACTCTCCACTATACCCTGGATGCATCCACGGCTTGGCCCCATAATTATATTACCTCCCTTGGCCGGCTTTTTATCCAAAAGTGCTGAGGGCAATGTTGATGGAAGAAGACACAGCTGTTAGGATAATTTATGAAATGTAATGGTAAATTGACAGGAATTAAGGCTACATTTGACATAACCACAATGCTTCTTCCCCACTTAGATTAATGGACATGTGTGCAAGAAATATATTTATAAAAAAAGGGAACACATCAGAGAAGTTTTATACTAAATACTTCATGGTAAATTTGATAAAACAATGTTTCATTCGTTGTGCAATGAAGTGTGGCTGATGAAAAGTAATGATGTAATAATTTTTTGCGATACATTTTGGAAGACATATTTGATAAGACAACTAAAACACAGTAAAATAAATCATACTACGAGGCCAGACCAATTTTATTTCTTGTTTTACAGATTTTTGTCCTCAGAAAACCTAAAGGCAGGAGGGGAAAAAAAATTACCAGTCAAAGCAAAAGCCTTTTTTTTCAATTCAAAGGCACTGTTTTTCAAGTTCACACTCGCTGAAGTGCTCAAAGCACTGATTTCTAACACAAATATTGTTTGATAATTCAGTTTAAAGTCTATGAGAACAGATACCGGTGTTTTAGTGTCCAACAAACTGCCTTGCATAGTCGAAGTCTCGCTCCAGTATATCTTAACATTAGGATATTATTTTATTTTTTTTTTTCTTATTCTTGAAAAAATATGACCAGCGGGATCCATAAAACAAGAAATATAATTGGTCTGACCTGATAAAAATAGGGATTTTCAATCATATTTGATTCAGTAATGTGTACTGGAAAATGGATCAATTGTGAATTTCTCACAGGCTGCCATTTTCTTTTGGAACAATAGGATATCTTAAGTTGTTTTTGTTCATTAAATTCGCAAAAATAATAATGTATAAAAAGTTAACAAATATGTTCAGGGTTGAACAGGTGATTATATCAATATGAATTTTCATATGTAACTCAACTCAGCTAAATGTTCAGAACATATAAACGCCTGGATAAATCTTGATGTCTGTTTCATTGCAGGAGTAGAATTAAGACTCAAGACAAATGATGGCTGCCAGAATGGCTGTTTTCACTATGTAAGCTTAAGCACATAATGCAACTATCTTCATCAATATATCATTGTCTAGTGACTCTATTTCAAGCAGAGAGGATAATACATCCAAGGAAATTCTGTCACTTATCATGCAAATGTAGCAGACAAATTCACTGAAAGAGACATGTATTTCAAACAATTAATTAGTGTTCATGAAAACCAATAATTGGACGGCAACTTCGAAAAAGAGGTTATGTGCAAGAACCTAAAAAACTCCATTTAGGCCTTGTTAAAAAAATCATTAATAAATAATATTTGCTTAGGTAAAAATTAAATGAGATGGTTAGAAATAACATTTGAAAAAATGTTACTATGGAAGTAAATAGCCATTATCAAATCAACATGGGTCCACTAAAATGCATTCTCATGTATATTCTTTATTTCCATAACATTTGAGTCATGGATATAACACACTGGTTAAGATGACCATGCCTTAGGGCAAGCAAAGTAAATAGATCTCCCACATGTAGGCAGTAACTCTAAGTGTTACTCACTTCATATGTAGTAGCATACCTTAAAATCAGGAATATCATTTGCTGGGCTTTTCTTGTGAATAGGTGGGAGGACAGATGGTCCTTGATGTTTTCTTGAGTTTGACGAGGCAGTACTGTATGCAGATTGCGCGCTTGAAAGTCTGTCACGACGTTTTGATTCTTGTCTACGAAGCATCTCTTTCAATTTCATGTTTACTTTGTATGCCTCGTGCAATAGTTCCTCTGTATCTTCCTCCGTCAAATCAACACTTTCTAACTGTTTTAGCAAGGCGTCAGGATCAGTCAAACTAAATGTAGCTTCTTCTTTCCCGTCGTCTGTCGCGGCATCTGTGTTTGTTTGCTTTTTGTTGTCCCCTTCATCAACTCGTTGATTTGTGTTTCTGTCGTGTTGTTCAGATTCTGAACTACTGTCACTGTCTCTGCCCTCCTCACCCCCATTTTCGCCGTACTTTGAAGTTCCTGATGCCATCGCTATTGTTCGGTTTTCATACCAATTCACATCAACAAACAAACATTTTGCTTCGAAGATTACTATCGGAATGTTTCACGTTGAGCGTCGTTCGAAACGGAAGTGTTACCTTCAAGAACCATAACTCTGTGTGTATTTCCGGTAGCCCGTTTCAAGTCTATGAATAGATTTAATTCCGGTATATTTCGTGACTTTCCGATCTGTCTGAATCCGGCTTGACGCAAACAGCCGAACGGGGAGATTATCTAAATTCATTGTCAGATGAGGTGTGTTTTTATCTTTTAGTTTAACGTGAAATGAGTTCTATACAAGGATCAAATCCCTCCATGAAAAATATTAATATACTTTTCAAGACGTCCTGAATTCAAGCATTTATATAAAACATTTCGTGACATTGTTTAGTAATGTAAACATTTAATTGTTTTTCGAGGAAATTTACGTACGCTTCAGTTACTGCAAGACATAATGGATAATTATCATTCCTGATTATGTTGTGGAACAATTCATAGCGTGTTGTTTTCAATATTATTTAAAATATCGATGCCTCATGATTGTGTTCAAACAACCAGCGTCTATATATGGGTATTGCTATTCCGGACTGTTTAAAGGTACTGCTTATTTCGTTTATATGGCAGCCTGTCGGAGTCCAAAGTAAATCGTTAGCTTCGGGAGCTTAACTCATAAGCTGTCATACCATTAATTATTGGACATGAAGCAAACTGACCTCGCTTGCTATACTATATATTTTTTTAGAAAAACGTTATTACTTACGTTTATAAGGTAGCATAACTTCCAACAAGATTAGGGTTGATTTCCAGGGTTTGACTGGCAAGGCTGTTCCATACTATATAAGCAACTGAAGTTGCCGAACTGTGTCATTGTTATTTAGATGTTAGATTTTTCGCTTCCGTGGCAAAATACGGATTTACTCATTCACAACTTACAAATGGTTATTTTTCGCGACAAAACATTGTATAGATATATCAGTCCAGCACAGCAGCCAGGAAGATAACAATTAGAAGTCGATGAAGAGTAAAAGGCAAGAATGAAAGGAATATAGCGATTGTGAAGTCAACATCAGACTTATCCGTTTGCAAATACGCGCCTATATAGTGATGCCTAGGGCCACTATTTACTGGAAAGCATCATACCAGCACTAACTGTTTGGTGGTCAGGTTTTAGCTCACCTGACTCACAATCAGTCCAAATATGTTTCTACATGTTTATACTGGTCTTAGCTAACATGAATAGGTGAAAGACTTGTTAATGTTCAAATGGTTACAAAGAGGCTTCGTGAACACGCCAGATATCAATCTGCTCACAATTTACTTTAAAATATACACAAAGTTTATTATGCTGCGGAGTTGAAAATATGCATGCGAACATATCCGTTAAAACACCATTTGAACGTCTTTTCGACATCCTAGATCCGTGAGCCAAAACGAAGAGTATCGTATCTTGTCGTGATGTTTTCCTCTAGACGTACGCGTATCTATCACCACTTACTTGTATTAAATATGTATGCTCTGGCGTATACACTCTGAATATACTGACGTTTCTCCCTCTTGAAGGTCAAGGTTCTAATATGCATGACCCGTGAAGATCCGGGTTAGAACTGATCTTCAGTAACCCATGCTTGTCGTAAGAGGCGACTAACGGGATCGGGTGGTCAGGCTCGCTGGCTTCGTTGACACGTCATCGTTTCCCAATTGCGTAGATCGATGTTCATGCTGTTGATCACTGGATTGTCTGGTCCAGACTCGATACTTAACAAACCGGCGCCATAGCTGGAATATTGCTGAGTGCGGCGTAAAACTAAACTCACTCACTCTAATATGCATGTCGTTAAGAGTAACGGATCAACTGGCTTGTAGAAGGCATGTCAGTGGCTTTGACCGATGCTCATAGTGTCAATCACTGGATTGTCTGCTCCAGACTCCAATATTTACAGGTCGCCGACATACAGTTGTAACATTGTTGGGTGAGGCGTTAGACAAAAAAACAGGAGTTTCTATGGACTAGTTCACTTATAGATATGGATGCTGATATCACACCGTACACTGTATACTTAACTTGCTGATAATAATAGAATATCCCATCTCTGTGCTCAATGCACAGTAACCGTCTAACATTGTGATGAGATTATTCCCACGTTAAAACCCAGAGTGAAGAAGTGTTAGAGGTGGCCTGACCAGCAATGTATGGAAATCCCTGGGCAATCTGCATTCCATGTATCCAAGACAGTGACTTAATCTCCCTTCTCTTTGCTCTGTGTACATCCCATGTATTCAGGACCAAGGAATCAATCTCCCTTCTCTTTGCTCTGTGTACATCCCATGTATTCAGGACCAAGGAATCAATCTCCCTTCTCTTTGCTCTGTGTACATCCCATGTATTCAGGACCAAGGAATCAATCTCCCTTCTCTTTGCTCTGTGTACATCCCATGTATTCAGGACCAAGGAATCAATCTCCCTTCTCTTTGCTCTGTGTACATCCCATGTATTCAGGACCAAGGAATCAATCTCCCTTCTCTTTGCTCTGTGTACATCCCATGTATTCAGGACCAAGGAATCAATCTCCCTTCTCTTTGCTCTGTGTACATCCCATGTATTCAGGACCAAGGAATCAATCTCCTTCTCTTTGCTCTGTGTACATCCCATGTATTCAGGACCAAGGAATCAATCTCCTTCTCTTTGCTCTGTGTACATCCCATGTATTCAGGACCAAGGAATCAATCTCCTTCTCTTTGCTCTGTGTACATCCCATGTATTCAGGACCAAGGAATCAATCTCCCTTCTCTTTGCTCTGTGTACATCCCATGTATTCAGGACCAAGGAATCAATCTCCCTTCTCTTTGCTCTGTGTACATCCCATGTATTCAGGACCAAGGAATCAATCTCCCTTCTCTTTGCTCTGTGTACATCCCATGTATTCAGGACCAAGGAATCAATCTCCCTTCTCTTTGCTCTGTGTACATCCCATGTATTCAGGACCAAGGAATCAATCTCCTTCTCTTTGCTCTGTGTACATCCCATGTATTCAGGACCAAGGAATCAATCTCCCTTCTCTTTGCTCTGTGTACATCCCATGTATTCAGGACCAAGGAATCAATCTCCCTTCTCTTTGCTCTGTGTACATCCCATGTATTCAGGACCAAGGAATCAATCTCCCTTCTCTTTGCTCTGTGTACATCCCATGTATTCAGGACCAAGGAATCAATCTCCTTCTCTTTGCTCTGTGTACATCCCATGTATTCAGGACCAAGGAATCAATCTCCCTTCTCTTTGCTCTGTGTACATCCCATGTATTCAGGACCAAGGAATCAATCTCCCTTCTCTTTGCTCTGTGTACATCCCATGTATTCAGGACCAAGGAATCAATCTCCCTTCTCTTTGCTCTGTGTACATCCCATGTATTCAGGACCAAGGAATCAATCTCCCTTCTCTTTGCTCTGTGTACATCCCATGTATTCAGGACCAAGGAATCAATCTCCCTTCTCTTTGCTCTGTGTACATCCCATGTATTCAGGACCAAGGAATCAATCTCCCTTCTCTTTGCTCTGTGTACATCCCATGTATTCAGGACCAAGGAATCAATCTCCCTTCTCTTTGCTCTGTGTACATCCCATGTATTCAGGACCAAGGAACCAACGACGACACTTTACGATAAATGTATATAAACACTTTTTTATTTACACTGGATTCCCAATAAACAATGCCTGCATGGTTCAATTGGAATGGAAACAACATTCTTTTATGGAATAGCCTTTCTATCAAATGACAATGGTATTTTACATAATGCTTGATGTTCTAGTGAACATCACCAACAATATTAATACTTTGGTGATGTATTGTTGTTTCTTTCCGATTTAGCTTTAGTAGAATGCTCGTCCACGCTGTCCTCCAATCCATAAACCATTGTGAAGACAAATAATCCAAATATCTGCAACAGACTTCCCTGTCACGTAGGTCGATGTTCATGATGTCAATCACTGGACTGTCTGGTCCAGGGCCTAGATTTTCGAAGCTCTCTTAGCGCTAAGATAGTCGTAAGTGCCATACATTAACATCAACTTACGACTATCTTAGCGCTAAGAGAGCTTCGAAAATCTAGGCCCAGATTCGGTAATTTACAGACCGCCGTATTATAGCTGGAAGAGTGCTGAGAGCGGCACAAAACAACAAACTGACAAACAATCAAACACACTATGAGTTTTGTCAGATCACATGATTCATCCACCACATTGATGATTGATATATAAGCGAGTGAGTGATTGAATATGGTATTATGGCGCTTGCAGACATTCTCAATGTTATGGTGGCGGACACCAGAAATGTACTCATGTGAGGAATCGAATCCGGGAATTCATGACATGACGAGCAAAACGTTTTATCTAAGGTACCCCTAACCCATTCCCCACCCACATCCACACCTCCACCCCACCCCAATTGATGTAATACCCCAACCCACTGTTCCCATTAATTCGAGGTAGTAAAGGAACTTTTGGTCAGCGAGGAATTGGAGTTAAAAGCCTTTGGACCAGTATTTTAGTTTTATGAGGACGTGTTGAAAGAAATCGAAGTGGCGGATGTCATGTTACTGTTTCTTTCGGTGAATCCAAGACTTACAATCTTACAAGTCCTGAGACACTCGTATAGTACAGACAAACCAAGAATCGCGTGTATGGTACTGGCAAGCTCAGGACCACATAAATGCCATTTTGGATTGACAAACCCAGAAGCACGTGCATGGTGCTGGCAATCCTAGAAGCAAGCACATGGTGCTGACTAGCTCATAAGCACGTGCATGGTGCTGGCAATCCTAGAAGCACGCACATGGTGCTGATAGGCTCATAAGCACGTGCATGGTGCTGGCAATCCTAGAAGCACGCACATGGTGCTGACAATCCTAGAAGCACGTGCATGGTGCTGACAATCCTAGAAGCACGTGTTTGGTGCTGACAAGCTCAGAAGCACGTGTGTGATGCTGGCAATCCTAGAAGCAAGCACATGGTGCTGACTAGCTCATAAGCACGTGCATTGTGCTGGCAATCCTAGAAGCACGTGTGTGATACTAACAAACCCAGAGAAGAGTGAATGGTGCTGACCAACCAAGAGGATCGGTGCCGACAAACAAAGGTAAGAACAATTGGCGTGAAAATGAGATGTGAACAACAGCTCTCAGATAATGGCACAAGATACGCAACTCTGTACAACGAAGGAAATGGTTGAAGACAAGAAACATAATGCACATTGTCCAGCATATTACCAAATCAGAACGAAGTGCCCCCGCTCGTCTCTGGACAGATGTTAATGCCTGACAGTTATCAGTTAGGAAGCTACAAAAGCACTATACAGCCACACAAAATGAAGTTTAAAATGTCACTGTGTTTCAAACTGTCCATTGAAAAATACGTCATCAAATGACTGTGCAGGATGAACAGGTCGTGAAGTACTGGAACTGGTTTTCCATCACAGCCCGCTTGCAGTGAACTAGGCGCACGTCTTGCAGTTCGGAGACATGCCCCTGCTTACATTCGTTTTGGCATGTAGTTGAATGGTGGTGGAACTTTCACGAGTGGTGCCTGGAAACAATAACACACAAGATGGGTGGACTGACCAAGATTCTCACATAAACAACCTCTACAAGTGTAAACATGAAACATACAACTTCATGGATGACAACTTCTTGTTTATTGCATAGAGCGACGTTTAGATGTAGATTCTTACACCGTTATCAAGCTAAAAGTGACTACAACCAAATGTTGAGAGGTACATGTATATACACATAGTATGTTTTGACAAACAGCAGATTAACATTAACAATAGCTTGTAATTGAATAACAACTGGTACATAATTAGGAGAGGCCAGTTGGAGAGAAAGAACAACAAACGGAGCTGGTGATGAAGCCAATAAACAAGGGGGATTAAGTGTACCCGAGAGGCATATACACATAGGTATGTTTTGACAAACAGCAGATTAACTGTACCCTAAAAGCGTACTATCGTACAGGGACTACACAATTGTATCTCTGATATTTGCAAAGTCGTATAAGATACAACGTTTAGGTTCCTTTCCTACTAACACAACGAAGACACGGAAAGCCAAAGTGTTGACGTTTGCGAAGTCAGAGGTCTAAATGCATATAAAACAATATTTTGCGGTGATGCTAAGGAGGGAAAGCCCTTGAGTGTGTATCGTAACAAAACCGCGGACATTCGTGACCAATGTTTGAAATGAAATATAACGCGAGTACAAAAGAATGTCCAATCGCGAATGAGTCTAAATATAAATTTAGAAAAATGCCAGGCCGCCATCACTCAAATATGCTTCTCCAAGCCGCTTTGTTAGCTTGTACCGAGAATTTATTAGTCGCCATGCTGACAGACTGATCATCAAATCTGACGTGGATTGAAATAGATGTAGGATCTTTGCTCAAAGATGTATCGTATCGGAGTGAAACGCCTGTTATGAGTGGGACCCAAACACATATAATATTTTGATTTATTTTCCAACCCCTTTGGGCCATGCAGTATATCTGTTATTCTTCATACAATACAATACTACCGGCAACACTAAAAGTAGTTTATATTCAGGGCATCAGGTTTGACGTCTGCTCAACAAGAATGAAACCACTCACAAGTCCACCATTCATCATGTCAGTGATAGCGCGCTCCACTCTGCTGCACTGCTTGTCAATTGCACGTTGTTTCAGTGACGTCGTCGAGTGATTGCATTCCATCATAGCGCACATGGGGTCACTGGGGTTGCACTGTTTGAACTGAAATGGGAAAATCAAATCAGAGTTTGAACTGATACCACCTCTTTAAACAATCACCCGATTATCTACCTTGAACGACTAACATACGGGTTTCCCAACATTGTAAGCCTGTAGGACACAGGGATTCGAATCTCTGTTTGGACGATAATTTTTTATGCAATGATTGTAGCGGTATGGTTTACGAAAAAAATCATTTCTTCACCGAGTTCGTTCAAATTTGGAATATATGTTAATCATAACATATACAAACAATATACAACTGCAAAAGTGTAGATTTCTATTTTAAATAATTATCGCCCAAACAAAGATTCGAACTCCTGTGCTGTAGGATATGTGGTATTTCTTTCCTTCCTAATGCATTACGCATCCAGTGTGAATAAGGATCGAGTAGTCAGGCTCAGTGACGTATTGATGCATCGCATCCCGGTTGGCGTCCACCCACGTCCAGACTCCATTATCCAGAACGCAGCCACATGGCTGGTATATTGCTTTGGAAATACTGTATTCGAAATTTAATGGAAGTTTCCTGGTTGTCGCAGCGGTTGTATTCTCCCAGCATTTACGGATAATTTTGGAATCGTTTATGCCGAAGGAAGTAATCATAGGGCTGTAACCATTCATTTACTGAATCCGACACGACCAATGCCATGTATCAGTGTGTACGATGTTTCATACACAAAATAGGGGTTGGTTGTCGATTCACACCTCTGCCACCCGTTTGAATATATACGTATCCCATTGACCTCGTATGGTTGTATCCAGACCCTGGAATCGACCAGCCTTCACCTGATTGTGGCACGGCCATGATCCTGTGGTTGAAGAGGTCCTCAGCATCCCGTGCTTGAGGATTCAGTATGTCGGCAAGAAAGGACGTCATGGGTATTAATCATACCTATGTTTATCTAGCATAAAATAAGATTCACTCACTTACTCACCTGTTTATATATATCACCCTGGAAACCGCTCCTCAACAGGAAGATGGCGATGTCCTCCCGTCTCTGGTCCACACAGTCAAACAGCACAGAGTTGAACCGTGTTACATCGCCGTGTTCCTTCAGACCGGTCACCAGCCTCGTGACCATGTCGAGGTCAGCTCTCTGTAATAGCGTAGCGGAGTCAATGTTGGTTATCCATATTGGTAAAACGACCGCAACCCACTACCCCAACGGAAAAATCAAACAAAAACACAATGAAAAGAGACAATGCAAAAGCCTGTCTACATTGTCATTAGTAGTTGTTCTCTGTCAGATGCAAACAAATTCATTTTGTAACCATGGGAACAAATAAAAAAAATTAAAAACAACAAAAAACAAATTCATTTTGCATACTTGAAAATTATCGCATTTTATCAGTGTACCAGCACAGAAAAAATATTGAAGATATACTCACTTTAATAGCACCTTTTAAGCTTTCCTCAAAGCTCGTTTCGTATATGAAGACCTCCGCGTCGCAGTCCTGGACCTCCTTCTGTAGGATCAGGAACTCCTGGTTGCTGCACATCTTCCGACTGTAGGTCACGGGACGCCTTCCTCTCTGTGGGATGTAAGGTGTATGTGAGTCATATATAGTTAATTCAGTTGAAAGAAACATGCGACACACATTAACGCACAAAGGCGATCTGATGCGTTACTTCGAACCAGGGATTCAGTCCCAAAAGTAGTAGAATTTGTACTAAACTACAAAAAATATTGTAACACAGTGTAATCCGAAAAACAGCGTATGTTACATGTCACAAAACAGATAGTATATATAGTACGTACTCATGGATGTTGGAAGAACATAACAAATACATAGTCTGTGATTCCAAACCAAGAGTCTTTGGCAGATACATTGGTGAAAAACATTGTTCTTCAAAATTTGACTTGTAGTTATGTTCTGATTGCCATAAATTCTGAAAAAGCTGGGAAACTTTTAGTTCAAATTGGGAATTATTTGTGTCCATTGCCGCAGACTCCGGGCCGAATAGTTCGATTCATGGGTACAATGTGTGAAGCCCTTTTCTGGTGTCCCCCGCCGTGATATTGCTGGAATATTGCTAAAAGCGGCGTAAAAGCATACTCACTCACTCACTCATTCACTCAGTCACTCACTGACGAATCTTTTTCTGTTGCACGTGGAATTCATGTTCGAAGCGTCTGTGAGTAATCCTCCAAGAACCTGCTTTCATTTTCAAGAGCATGGATTGTGCAGATCTACGTGCATAGTTATCAGGCGTGTTACCAGGTCCAAGACTGTGTATCAGTAATAGTGAGACCGGAATGTTACCGATATAACGATAGTTTCACCGGTGAGCTCTACTTACCACATCACCTTGATCCGGGTTAGCACCTTGTCTCTCAAGGACGTCGATTACCTCTGGGTCATCCATGAAGAGATAGGCGTAATGGAGTGGATATCGCCCAAGCTGAAATTACAAGGCGTGTAAGTCATCCATCAAAAATGGATGGCAAGCCGAATACATCATGCAAAAGGTAACATTTGTGGGGAAGAAGCATGGTCAGGTTTTCATGCCGATTTTAAAGATGCGTTTAGAAGCGGAATATAATTTATACGATAAGGGGATACATGGCGAAAACATCTACAAGAAGATGTAGCTTGAAAGCCGAATGCATCTTCTGTGCGATAAGGTTTACATCCCAAATGCATCCTGAACATAATCAGGGCACAATATCGAACGCAAGATTACAGTATTCTGGAACGCCTAAGGGACGCTACTCCGCAAAGTGAATTGTGGCATTTGAGACGACGTGTCCACCTATGCCTCTAAATTTGCGCAAGCCGCAATCATATATCAATACTTTTATCGTATATTTATTTTTTGTTTTAGCACAAAGGTAATAGCATTATTTGCAATGTAGAGGGGCAAGCTGTTCTAGTTACGTTATCAGGTATGTTGACAGCGAAGCTGCAGTCCCGAGCAAGCATCAACGTGGCGTCTCTGTGACGGAGGAGCATCGCCCTGAGTAACGGCGTCCTGCCGCACTTATCCCTCGCGTTAGCGTATTTCTGGCAGGACAGCAACTTCTTGAGGTCGTCGAGCGCATCGTCTTCAACGGCAGTGAACACGCGTCTCACATACGTCTGAAGTAAGAGAAATTGCCCTCCAGTGAATTAACTTGTAATTTGAACTCGCTAATGCCGATTGATGGCTTAAACTGGTATCATATACAATTCTTCATGTCTTCGAGTAACGCAATGGTAGTGTTGAAAGACTGATAAAAGCGGCTTAAAATCATCTCAACGTACTCAAATGTTGATGGTTTGGTATTATACCTCATGTCTGCACCGGAAGTTAAACAAATCTCAAGTTCAAAAGGTTAAAAATGTACATGTATATTATATTGTATTATATAAGTAGAAACTATAAACTAAAACATAACACTTTAACTTTATACTGTTTAAATACAATGTTAAAATACCTCTAAATTGAAGAAAACTAATTGACACAAAGTTCTTATCTGTTTTTGTTTTGTTTTGTTTTAATAGAGACACAGTAATTCCTTAGAAAAATCCCTAATCTATGCCTGTTACTCACAGCCTATACTTGTGTAAATAACTCCCTGCCCTTACTATACCTGTATTGCATCCACAAGCTTGACGACCTCAAACACCTGTCGAGAGGAATGTTTTTTGGCATATTCTGCTGCTGTTTTGCCAGAACTGTCCTTGATGCCAGTAAATGAGTAGTTATCAAGAATCAGCTTCTCCACGGCATCAAACTGTTTGTTTTTGATGAGCTTCAGTACCTGTTCATCAATCAGTTTCACATACACGGTTAAGTTCAACGCTAGGGCATAGTCGCGTGCTGTTCTCCCAAACTTGTCTCTGGCGGAGATGCTGACTCCGGCTGCCAGGGCACTCTTGGCGAGATTCTCTGTCTCTTTGCGTTTAATAATTTCAAACAGGATGGTCTGGCCGTCGGGATTGCGGGCGTCGAGGTCTGATCCCTGGAACAACCGCTCTATGACCTTGTCATCACGTGGACGGAACTGACCCGTTAACACCTGTAATTTGAGTGATTGAGTTTAATGTTTCAGCTTTTAGCAATATTCCAGCAATATCACGGCGGGGGACACCAGAAATTACCTTCACATTGTACCCATGTGGGGAATCAAAGACGAGCAAACTCCTACCCCACCGCCCCAATTATTGGCTGTGCTTAGATGTTGTACGTTGTTTCACAGTATACCAATCAGCCGACTCTACATTTGCTTTTCGTATTACCAAATAACTGACCATCTTTTCCGTATCGACACAACATTTGTAAATTTAAGAGTCCTACATACACGAGAATACACGTACATGGAAAAACAGAGGTTTAGTTTGTGCAGGATCCGAATACTCGTTGAAAAGGACACTTGTGTCTGGTTGTAGTTCCATGATCATTTCCATGGCGTCCAGGCTGTTAGTTTCCCACGTCGCCGCTAGGAGGGGCTGCGGAACTTCCGGGCATTCTGGGTACTGTCTCTGATAGGCGTGATCCCTTGTGTTGACATCGTGATTGTTTAAAATACCTGCAAGGTTAGTAAAAACATCAATCTATGAGAAACATTATTTACAGTAGACATATGCATAGTAACAAGTTTTAATCAAATATCGGTAGAAAGCGGCAGTTTCAGACAGAGAAATTGAATGTGGTGTGAGGTATGTCTGCAGGCATACATGTACTGGATGGAATGCGATTACAAAACAAAAACGTTTACTGACCATTGGAAAATACGTAGTTCAGGCTGACAGGCTACACCAAATTTACGATACAGTAATTCTTTTCTTGACAGAGCTATCTAATTGACCATGTACAGATTGTACCTGTATCTAAATTTCATGGGGCAATTATAAATATGTAAAGATAGTGATGGTTTGTATATTTCTAATCTTTTCTTTATTCTGAAATCTTTCTGCCTTCATGTGTACGATAGCTCCGGTATCGATACTTTTTATTCAGTTTTGAAAAAAACAGCGCTACAGTTTTACTGAGCGTCGCACGTCAGTGGTATCATAAATGGGATCTTAGACCAGAATTTCAAGATCTATTTACACCAAAGAAACTCTATACGTTTTTCTATTCGTGAAGATCGGGGTTAGAATTGTTCTTCAGCAACCCATGCTTGTCGTAAGAGGCGACTAACGGATCGGGTGGCCAGGCTCGCTCACTTGGTTGACACATGTCATCGTATTCCAATTGCGTAGATCGATGCTCATGCTGTTGATCATTGGATTGTCTGATCCAGACTCGATTATTTACAGACCGCCGCCATATAGCTGGAATATTGCTGAGTGCGGTGTTAAACTGACTGACTGAGTTTGGTTTTACGCCGCTTTTAGCAATATTCCAGCAACATCACGGCGGGGGACACCAGAAATGGGCTTCACACATTGTGCCCATGTGGGGATTCGAACCCGGGTCTTCGGCGTGACGAGCCAACGCTTTAACCATTAAGCTACCCCACCACCCCGCGGTGTTAAACACTAACCAACCAACCAACTATGCGTGTTTCATTACCAGACACATCACACATATACAGATTTGGATGGAGTCGTTTGGCTGTAACAAAGACACGCAATTTCTTAATCGTTTCTTTTGTTATCAGTCACAGTCTCACCTTGTTTCTGCCACATCCGCACAATGAATCCCAGACCGCCAACAAATGCCAAAGCAAGTTCGATAGAGTTCTCATATTTCTCAATCAATTGTAAAAGGTCAGTTTTCTTAACATCATTCTGAATCAATGTCTTCATATTCACAATCTTCCCGTTTTTGACTGTTGTCAAACGAGACCACATGAGGAGCAGACGTTCAACTTGCTTCCGGTCCGGCTGGGGCTCTTGCAATATTACCCATAGACCTGCGAAACAGCAAAACATGTACACTAAAATCGATGTAATATCTTAAAAAGCGCACTTGTGGTGTGTTTAACTAATTAATGATAATCTAAGAAGCAAGACAGGCAGTTGACAAACTCTGAAGAACTAGACGTGACGTTGAACCCCCTGGATGCTAGAGGGACATATATATTTCTTCTCTTCTCTTCCTCAATTTGAAGTCGAGTGAAATTCAAGTTACACTTTGCATGCATTCCTGCATTTGTGAATTCTGTAGGAAATACCATGTTTCTTGAAATCACCAACAGTCATTTTAGGCAAACCAAAGTGCTAAAATTACCTCTGAAAATTCGTACATCGGAAATCTCGCCATTTTTGCCCATCACGAAATCAGCATTAACGACGTTTTTCATGTGGGTTTTGAAATACAAAAAGGGGTATTTACTTAAGGAATTAAATTTCTAAAACAGGATATTATTGATGACGATATCTGTTTCTTTCATCAAATCACCAATGGCAACGACAACAGAAAACCCTGTCAATCTGTGCTCACGTTATCACACCAACGCTGTCGTATCGTGTACAGCGCTTGTAGTGCCATTCCTGCTCTATATGATGACCTATCCAGTGTACCTGGGTGATATTTCTTGTACCAGTGAAGCGTCTCCTGCCAGCCGTCGGGCTTTTCGTCCATCAGGATGTCTAACGCTGTCTGACTCTTGTTGTTTGTTATCTGTGTATCACACCCACACCTGCAAGTCCAGAAGTAAAGTAGGATGTGATCAAGTCTAGAAGTAATATAGGATGTGATCAAGTCCAGAAGTAATATAGGATGTGATCAAGTCTAGAAGTAATATAGGATGTGATCAAGTCCAAGTAATATAGGATGTGATCAAGTCTAGAAGTAATATAGGATGTGATCAAGTCTAGAAGTAATATAGGATGTGATCAAGTCTAGAAGTAATATAGGATGTGATCAAGTCCAAAAGTAATATAGGATGTGATCAAGTCCAGAAGTAATATAGGATGTGATCAAGTCTAGAAGTAATATAGGATGTGATCAAGTCTAGAAGTAATATAGGATGTGATCAAGTCTAGAAGTAGGATGGAATGTTACAAGTCCAGAAGTAATAGTAGGATGTGATCAAGTCTAGAAGTAATATAGATGTGATATAGGATGTGATCAAGTCTAGAAGTAATATAGGATGTGATCAAGTCTAGAAGTAATATAGGATGTGATCAAGTCTAGAAGTAATATATGATGTGATCAAGTCCAAAAAGTAATATAGGATTTGATCAAGTCTAGAAGTAATATAGGATGTGATCAAGTCTAGAAGTAATATAGGATGTGATCAAGTCTAGAAGTAATATAGGATGTGATCAAGTCCAGAAGTAATATAGGATGTGATCAAGTCCAGAAGTAATATAGGATGTGATCAAGTCTAGAAGTAATATAGGATGTGATCAAGTCTAGAAGTAATATAGGATGTGATCAAGTCCAGAAGTAGGATGTGATCAAGCTAGAAGTAATATTGGATGTGGTCAAGTCCAGAAGTAAAGTAGGATGTGATCAAGTCTAGAAGTAATATAGGATGTGATCAAGTACAGAAGTAATATAGGATGTGGTCAAGTCCAGAAGTAATTTAGGATGTGATCAAGTCTAGAAGTAATATAGGATGTGATCAAGTCTAGAAGTAATATAGGATGTGATCAAGTCTAGAAGTAATATAGGATGTGATCAAGTCTAGAAGTAATATAGGATGTGATCAAGTCTAGAAGTAGGATGGAATGTTACAAGTCCAGAAGTAAAGTAGGATTTGGTCAAGTCTAGAAGTAATATAGGATGTGATCAAGTCTAGAAGTAATATAGGATGTGATCAAGTCTAGAAGTAATATAGGATGTGATCAAGTCTAGAAGTAATATAGGATGTGATCAAGTCTAGAAGTAATATAGGATGTGATCAAGTCTAGAAGTAATATAGGATGTGATCAAGTCTAGAAGTAAGTAATATAGGATGTTATCAAGTCTAGAAGTAATATAGGATGTGATCAAGTCTAGAAGTAATATAAGATGTGATCAAGTCCAAAAGTAATATAGGATTTGATCAAGTCTAGAAGTAATATAGGATGTGATCAAGTCTAGAAGTAATATAGGATGTGATCAAGTCTAGAAGTAATATAGGATGTGATCAAGTCTAGAAGTAATATAGGATGTGATCAAGTCTAGAAGTAACATAGGATGTGATCCAGTCTAGAAGTAATATAGGATGTGATCAAGTCTAGAAGTAGGATGGAATGCTTACAAGTCCAGAAGTAAAGTAGGATGTGATCAAGTCTAGAACTAACATGGAATGTGTGCAAGTCCAGAAGTAAAGTAGGATGTGATGAAGTCTAGAAGTAATATAGGATGTGATCAAGTCCAGAAGTAATATAGGATGTGATCAAGTCTAGAAGTAATATAGGATGTGATCAAGTCCAGAAGTAATATAGGATGTGATCAAGTCTAGAAGTAATATATGATGTGATCAAGTCCAGAAGTAATATAGGATTTGATCAAGTCCAGAAGTAATATAGGATGTGATCAAGTCTAGAAGTAATATAGGATGTGATCAAGTCTAGAAGTAATATAGGATGTGATCAAGTCTAGAAGTAATATAGGATGTGATCAAGTCTAGAAGTAATATAGGATGTGATGAAGTCTAGAAGTAATATATGATGTGATCAAGTCTAGAAGTAATATAGGATTTGATCAAGTCCAGAAGTAATATAGGATGTGATCAAGTCTAGAAGTAATATAGGATGTGATCAAGTCTAGAAGTAATATAGGATGTGATCAAGTCTAGAAGTAATATAGGATGTGATCAAGTCCAGAAGTAATATAGGATGTGATCAAGTCTAGAAGTAATATAGGATGTGATCAAGTCTAGAAGTAATATAAGATGTGATCAAGTCCAAAAGTAATATAGGATTTGATCAAGTCAAGTCTAGAAGTAATATAGGATGTGATCAAGTCTAGAAGTAATATAGGATGTGATCAAGTCTAGAAGTAGGATGGAATGTTATCAAGTCCAGAAGTAAAGTAGGATGTGATCAAGTCTAGAAGTAGGATGGAATGTTACAAGTCCAGAAGTAAAGTAGGATTTGATCAAGTCTAGAAGTAATATAGGATGTGATCAAGTCTAGAAGTAATATAGGATGTGATCAAGTCTAGAAGTAATATAGGATGTTATCAAGTCTAGAAGTAATATAGGATGTGATCAAGTCTAGAAGTAATATAAGATGTGATCAAGTAGGATTTGAAAGTAATATAGGATGTGATCAAGTCTAGAAGTAATATAGGATGTGATCAAGTCTAGAAGTAATATAGGATGTGATCAAGTCTAGAAGTAATATAGGATGTGATCAAGTCTAGAAGTAATATAGGATGTGATCAAGTCTAGAAGTAATATAGGATGTGATCCAGTCTAGAAGTAATATAGGATGTGATCAAGTCTAGAAGTAGGATGGAATGCTTACAAGTCCAGAAGTAAAGTAGGATGTGATCAAGTCTAGAACTAACATGGAATGTGTGCAAGTCCAGTAGTAAAGTAGGATGTGATGAAGTCTAGAAGTAATATAGGATGTGATCAAGTCCAGAAGTAATATAGGATGTGATCAAGTCTAGAAGTAATATATGATGTGATCAAGTCCAGAAGTAATATAGGATTTGATCAAGTCCAGAAGTAATATAGGATGTGATCAAGTCTAGAAGTAATATAGGATGTGATCAAGTCTAGAAGTAATATATGATGTGATCAAGTCTAGAAGTAATATAGGATTTGATCAAGTCCAGAAGTAATATAGGATGTGATCAAGTCTAGAAGTAATATAGGATGTGATCAAGTCTAGAAGTAATATAGGATGTGATCAAGTCTAGAAGTAATATAGGATGTGATCAAGTCCAGAAGTAATATAGGATGTGATCAAGTCTAGAAGTAATATAGGATGTGATCAAGTCTAGAAGTAATATAAGATGTGATCAAGTCCAAAAGTAATATAGGATTTGATCAAGTCCAGAAGTAATATAGGATGTGATCAAGTCTAGAAGTAATATAGGATGTGATCAAGTCTAGAAGTAATATAGGATGTGATCAAGTCTAGAAGTAGGATGGAATGTTAACAAGTCCAGAAGTAAAGTAGGATGTGATCAAGTCTAGAAGTAGGATGGAATGTTAACAAGTCTAGAAGTAATACGAAAAGTTAACAAACCAGAATAAATACGGAATATCAGCAAGTTCAGAAGTAATATAGAATATGAGCAGCAATGTCGCTTTTAAGACTTAAAAGAACTTGAAGACATGACACTGTTCACGGATAACAATTTCCTGCTCATTTGATTCGACATCTCAAGTCTTCCAAGTAGCCATGTAACGTGAATACAAATAATCAAGACCTTGTTATCCACAAAATGTCTTCAGGCATTGCAAAAGATATACCCTTATTTACCTTTCTTTCACAAAACAAACCAGCGAGCCGCGAAGAATGCCGGATTACCTGTCCCGATTTAATAATTGTGTTCCTCCCGAGCCTTTCCCGAAACTTACAGTGAGTGTGTACGGTTTTCGAAGCTTTTAGTCAAAATTCCAGAAATATCACCAAGAAATGAAACAAAAAGTCAATCCTACAGAGAAAATTCACTGAAGACAGTCTATTGTTCAGAAGGTGTTAAATGAGTGTAACATCGTGAACATTGGATTGCAGCATACATGTTTTCAGAAATGAAAGACTGTGACACTATAGTGAGTGAGTTTGGTTTTAGCCGCTTGTTGCAGTTTTCCAGCAATATCACGATGGGGAACACCAGAAAAGGACTTCACACATTGCACCCATGTGGCGAATCGAACCCAGGTCTTCGGCGTGACGAGCGAACGCTTTAAACACTAGGCTACCCTCATCGGCCCCGTGACATCATATGGCGCCTATTGACCAATCAGAAGGCTATTGGGTGAATGTACTCATAGGCCTGTAACTATTTCGGAAGAGGATAAGAGGCTAAACTGACAGTCAAATGAAGTATACACTCGACAAAGAGATTACAAACGTTATCAAATGTGACTAAGCTGATTTGTTGTGAAATACTCACTGATATGATGTAATTAATTTAAAAATACCGGTATCAAATACATCATCATCACCATCATCATTGAGTTTGGTTTTACGCCTCTTTTAGCAATATTCCAGCAATATCACGGCGGAGCACGCCAGAAATGGGCTTCACACATTGTACCCATGTGGAGAATCGAACCCGTGTCTTCGGCATGACGAGCGAACGCTTTAACCAGTAGGCTACCCCACTGCCCCACCTCCTCGCCCTCCTCCTCCTCCTCGTCATCATCATCAAATGGCCGTGTCTTGTTATTTATTGTTTTGTTTTTAATTTTTAGACACGATCAAACACTGCCGTTTAGTTGCTTTAGCCCGGAGGTTTATCACATAATTTTATTTTAAATGTTGAATAAATAGTACCAGGGTTAGTATAATTTCAGTTGTCAACTATTCCAAGATAATTTTAAAATTCTCATTCTCAGGATTTTGTCAAAAGAACTCGCACTGGTTTTTATTCGTCAAGACGTGAAATGAATCATCACAAGGGACACGTGATATTATCTCGCGTTTCACAAGATGCAAGTCATGCAATGTAACGAGCAAGGCCTGACGCATTTGTTCACGAGATCCTTCGTAGTTACTTATTCATTAAATCTGATTTGTCATT